ATTGGATGTCACAATCTTAACTTGAGATCCACCAAGTTCCAACTACATATTTATATATTTAAATTTTTTTGCTATGTTTTGAATTTTGACCTTTTTTTTTTTTTTTATTTTTATTTTTTATTTCAATGTCCAATTTGAATAGTAATTATAATTAGGTGATATTTTAATAAATAATAATAATAATATATTTTTAAATAATAAAAAAATATTTTTTAACATAACAACATTATTTACTAATATTATTTGTAAAATTTGTATTTAATATTCATTTTTTTAATCTAATATATTATATAGAAATAGTATTTGTAATAAAATACCACCTTAGTCTATTTTCTAGTAATTGATATTTATATTTTTTTGAGACAATTATTTTTTGTTAACAATAGATAAATTTGTCTTTTATCTTATGTATAAAGAAACAGAGTAAATAAAAGAATGACATAAAAAATAAATTTTGTATATATATAAAAAAAAAAAATCATTGAATTCAAAAATAAAATATTAGTTTGTGGATAGAAGAAATAGTAATATTTCATTCAAAAATATTTTTATTTTTTATTTTAAATTAAAAAAATGGAATTAGAACTAAGCTTGTGAGGCACACCATTTATTTATTTATCTAAATAAAAGAACCAACCAAAAAATATATATCAAAACTAACCTTGGTTTAGAGTTGATTTAGGAAAAAAAAAAAAAGTATTTAGAAATAATACCCTATGTCCCGCTGCAAGGTTGTTATTTGATTTTTGCGCACTTTGATATTAAAAATATCTTTATATTTAAATAATTTACTCTACAAATATCATTGTATTGGTATTATAAAGGACTAATAAACCTATTGTCTTTTTTTCTTCATTTGGACTACATCTTGATATAATAATTAATATTCAAAGATCAACATGCAAAAAGCTAATAACAACATTGCAGCGGAACGGAGGGAGTATATAATATTATATACAATTCTAATTTTATTACATGAAGTGCATATGTCCAATTATATACTATGTAGTATACAAATAATAATGTGATGGTAAAATAAATGTATTGGTAGAGAACAATAAGGTTTTTTTTTTTTTTTTAAATGATTATTTTATAATTGAAAAATCCAAAATAAAAATATATATACTTTCTAAGCGGACGAAAGAAAATATATAGTTACATAATTAGAATCCAATTATGTATATAACACCATTTTTAATAATAATATTGATAATCAGATATAAGTACATTTGAGTTTGGTTGATATTGCCCGCAAGTGGTCCTATTGACAACATGATTTTTGATATATATTCAAATACAGCGAATTTTAGTCGAAAATTAAATGTAGGAAATTATTGTGAGCTATCAGATATAGCAAAATTTTATGGTTGTAGACCCTGAATCGTTTATCATAATTATTTATACTCTTTAACGGGTGAGTTCCAGGTCGAACACAGAAATTTTAAATCGCAAAATCAAATCAAGTTCTAATCTAGTGAAAGCGGCGGAAAGACACTAAGAAGATCCGCTCAGAAGCGAGCATGAATCTAAAACTACAAAAAACTGGAACACTAAGGAAAACGGTAAAGGTGAGCGATGGTGCGCGGAGTAGTGGTGAGTGGGACTGGTGCCAGCGATGGGTGAGCGAGAGGAACATGAGCGGAGGGGCACAATATATTTATATAGATTGAACGGTAGAGGGTGACGGAGAGGTGTTGTGTTTGAATTGTGCGTTACTCAATGGCTAGATTTTCCTGGATGAAATGAGCGAATGATGCTGGTGTTTAATCAAAACATATATGTATAATACGAAAGCGGTGAGGGAAAGAGTAATGTAGTTATATAAACCGGTCTATAAAGAACTTTGATCGCTGGTACTTGACCTTAAAGAATTTACAACAAGACTTTAATGACACCCAGAATCAGAACATTATAAGAAAGAAACCCTACTATTGCTAGGGATTTCCGTGACCCAATAGACCACCGTCTATACCTCATTAATTATCCCAATTTCTGTCTCATTAGTGGCTTTACCCTTCTGTTACATTTTTTTAATCAAAATCGAATTTAGACGAGTAATCAAGCAGGTCGACAAGGCTCCCGCGTACTTAACTATATTGAACTACCTTGAATTTGTTTGTGACAAAAAGACAAAGTTTAGATAATCAATTTTTCTGCATTATTTCTCAGCGACTTAGAGTTTTTTACAACTAAAGTTTATATAAAAGTGAAAATATGGAAGAAGTGACGACGAGGAACAAATGATATTTCATTATTTACTACCAAAGCATGAAAGTTCTAGTTCTACAAAATCTGTAATTAAAGCGGTAAACTAAAACTACGTAAACAGTAAAGTGCAGCCAAGGGAGAAGAGAGATCTCAACACCCTTGGCCATTCCTGCTGAGAAATCCTTACAGGGTTGGAGCTCTCTAGAGGCAGGAAGACAACTAGATTATGTGTGTATATAGTGCTTGTATACTCCTCTCGAAGTATATTTACAAATGGATATCTGGCCCTATTTATAGGTAATGAAAGTACCAGTTGCTTGAGGAGTGGTTTCAACTATTGGGTAGTTAGGCAGTTGGTGGCAGTTATACCGTTGGGGTAGTTGCTGGCCGTAACTCCCAGGACACTCGTTTCTCTTACTTCGACTTGTAAGGACACAGATCTTCCTCGATCACCGAGCTGGTTGGAGGGCATCAGCGCAACTCAGCAGAGTCGTCAATGTTGGCTGGTAGTGGAATGGCTGTACCACTGCGGGTTGGATACTTAGGCATTAATTTCATGGAGTTGTCGCCGCTCCGCTGCGGTGGGTGTCTGGGTCGCTGGCCTAAGCGATGAAGTCGTCGCTTGTGAGCGGAAACAACTACTATCGCTTATCTCATCTACCTTAACTTTTCTGGATCCGCATCACCGCTTAAAAGGCCAAAAAAATGTTAATAATTTTAACAAACCAATTCTAGATCATGTCAAACGAGATAGATCAATAAATTATGCCATAAATCAAATATTGTGACAGTTTTCATACAGAAATTCAAGTAATACAAAGTTTTGTTAAGTGGAGAATATGCTCATATTTAAAGTCATCACCTATTATAGTATAGATTTCGATGGTAGTTGCAGCTCATTCATTATGAAACAAATGATCTATTTGTTGTGGCCCAAGTTGATTAATCCGGCGTATCCCAAAAAATAATATCAATTTTAGATGATTTCATTGAGTTGAATTAGTAGATTTTAAGGAATTTGATTGAGAGAATATTGTGAAGTCAAGATATATATTTATTTAGAGTGATATTTTCTATATTAAACTTGTTACTTTGTAAGTTAATTATAGTGACAAGATGAAAAATCTATTAATTAGGACAAACAATTGTGGAAAGATTTGATTAAGTGATTTATTGTAAGTCTTCGATGGCTGAATTGGACTAATAATTTGATTGTCATTTATTATTCGATTACAGTATGTGCGAGTAGTTTGAACCTTTCACAAACAATATAACTTTGCTTGCTATGCTCGAATTTTTCTACGAAAATCTGGTGTAGTTTTATGTTGTTAAATATATTTAAAACATATGAGAAAGAAAAAAGAAATTAATAATAATAATAATAATAATAATAATAATAATAATAATAGTAAAACGTGTGTCCACAAGGGATGACCCGATGGTGTAGAGGTTTGACTTATGATCATGAGATCATGAGTTTAAACCCCGGACGTCTCGGACACATGATTCACCTATTATTTTAGTATTTAATTGTTGAATTACTTTTACTAAAAACAAATAAAATTTTTTAATTTTGAGAGATTAAAATGCCAAAAAAGTTTTACCTTAACAAGAAAGAAATATTTTTTATGAAAAGAGGGAGTATTCGTATAAATTAAATTTTTTCTATTTTTATAAATTAATTTATTGTAATATTGTATAAATAAGTTTTAGTATATTTTTATTTATTTATATTATATAAAAATTTATAATTTCAATATAATTTATATTTATTTAACTTTATTTTTAAACAAATATATATTACTCTAAATATAGTAAATTATTTATAAATAATATTATTATTTATATTTTAATAAATAATAATTATTTTATAATAATTATCTTTTACATATCCACTGTTATTTATAAACATATTTTCCTTTTATCTATCATTACCTTTCATTAAATATTATTATTATTATTTAATATATATATATATATATAATAACATAATGATCTCAAACAGCGGTAAGTAGATCATAATATCTTCTCAATTATCAATGTTACTGTAAATAAAAAAATATTTAGAAAAAGTGTAAATAGTAAATAATTATAAATATATTAGTAAAAATAACTATATTATAATACAAATAATTATAAATTAAAATTTAGATAATTAATCAATCTAATTAAAATAAAATAATTATAAATTAAAAAAATATATATATAATCATTTTTAAAAAATTATATGAAATGTAAAATATACAAAAATAACATACCATAAATAATTATAATAATATTTCCTATGTCCACTCAAATTATATAATCTTTCTATCTCATTGAAAATGTTGTTATTTATTTATTTTTTCAAAATAAAATTATTATTTTCTAATTTAATAATTATATTATTTATCTACCATAATAAATATTTTTTCAACTTACATCATATTATACAAATATTAATACTTTTATATTACAAGAATATTTTTGTATTTTTCACTGCTGGCCAAAGTAAACGGCAAGTCAGGAAGTATATATATATTTATAATAAATAATTTTTATACAATTTTTTCATTTATGTCTTTCAACATTATATTTAATACTGACAAATGGAGTAATATTTGGAAATAAATGGCCAATTATTGATTATAATTAAGGGGAAGCAAATCGATAATTAACCGCATTGTCCCTTCAGAAGCAACGGGCTTATCCCTATACACGTGGCGCAATAATACTGGAGGAGCACCAAATCTTCCCCTGTGGGCGACCGCAGCCTATCCAGCTCCCACCTCCCATATGCATTTAAACGTGATGAATTCAATTGCGATCCCACTCGGCGGTTACTCTCGTCCTCTCCGTTTTTGCCAACATCCCAAGAAACCAGTAGTCAGAAATCTCCGCCGTCGCCGGCGAGATTAGATTCGCCGGAAAGTGAGAAGTTACAGTGTTCTTCATATTTTTAGTTTGATTGTTGTCCTGAAGGTTTGTAAGCGATGTATTAACTGTTTTTTTTTTTTTTTTTTTTAATTTCAATCTATACTGCAGAATTGGAACTAGATAAAGTATAATAGATTCGAGAATTATGGATCGGAGTTCGTTGGGAAGAGGCTCAACCAGTTCGGCGGCTTCCGGTAAGTATTATTATTAATTTTAATAGTATTTTTTTCTTACTGTGTCGATATTGTTTGCCTGATGAGTGCGCTTGGATGGATTGTTTGTTTTTCCTTTTCGGTTTCACTTTTTTTTTTTTTTTGGAAATTATTGTCGTCGTGAGCTTTAATCTTATGCAGTTGGTGCTGAAAGTGACCGTGGGACATCTGTGTGTGTATAATTCACATGTAATGCAGCGGGCAGAAATTTATATAGGCTTTTGATAGTTTCTTAGACCTTTTTTTTTTCAGTTATTTTTTTTAATATTGTTGATTGACTCTTGGTTGTGAATAAATAAATAAATGATAATTTACATCATCTAACAAATATGTCAAAAAAAAAAAACAGCATGTGGTTCCTGGTTGTTTGTTGCAATGATTGTGTTCGTTGATGAACTCTGTAAAGTTAATTTCGTGTACCACAAGAAGGCGATAGCATAACCGTTGGTTGATATTAACATTCTTTTTTGGGGAAGAATTACAGAGAAAGTGATGTGCATGAGTTCTTTTTCCTCTTTTGTGCTGCCTCATTGTATTGCCAGATATGTTCGGAGGTTTGGAATAATTATATGATATGATATAAATAAATGGTCTTAATGTAAAATTGAGTTTTAATATAATATAAAAAAATAAAAAATAAGTAATAAGTGTTTGATTTGATATTTTTGGGGTGAAGATTTTGTGTGAATAGTGGAAATCTTCTATAGTCCTTGAAACAAACACATATGTCCCTACAGTAATTAGCGTTGGAGTTTTTATTACATATGTTGAGGAAAATTTAACTAATAGATGGAAAATGGAAGAATACATTGTTATGTATTTTTTTGGCATTGGACTGCATTGCACTTTATGCATTTTCATATCATAAGTGCAATTCTTCATTGTTCATATATCCTTCAGGTTCTGGTACAGCATCATCAAAAGAGGAAAAAATTGATCAACTGTTCTATAGATATGCCACAAAATCTTCCGGGGTGATCGAGTAAGTTCTACCATTTGTGCAAGTGCTTGAATAATACTTGTGATGTACATATAAATTAAAATAATTTTGAATTGGTCCTTTTTATGTGTGTTTGAAATGGTATATTGCATTGTTAGTTTATTGGCAGTGAGTTTGTTGTTAATTGAGTTTTCCACGGGATTTGTTATCATCTTCCTCTATACATAATGTCGAACTTTTCATCAAGCAGCCCATCTGGAATAGACTTGCTTTGCGCTGATTTGCAACTTGATGATAAAGATTACCAAATGTTATTGCTATCTTGGTAAGTCTGTATTGATATTTCTTTTCTAGACTTCGATCCATTGTGGATATTAACCTTGGTGATCTTTCCTCTTTTTGTTTTGACGAAGGAAAATGAAGGCACGCAGAAAAGGGTACTTCACCGTGGTAGGACTTAATTCTCTTTTCCATGATGTAAACCTATTTGTAAAAGTTGTGGTCTTTGGAAGTGAACATATTTTAGTTTTATGCAGAATTCTTTTTAAACTTTGTGGTTTCTATGATTCCTGAAAGGAATTCACATTTAAAAGGTGAGGGAGATATACTTGAATCCAAATTCTCTGTTAGCATTTTCTATAATATGGCAAGAAGCATGGGAATCGAATCTTTCTTCATCCCCCTAATCGATGAATTTCAATATAGTTATTTACATTCTAGAAAACACATGTCTTCTTATAACTTTGTGTTTAGGAGGAATGGCGAAGAGGTCTCACCACGCTGCACGCATATACTTTACCCAAGTTGCGGGATGGAATATATACTCTTTACCTTGAGGTACAATAACTTCGTCTCAAATTGAAATTGAGACGTGTCTTATTTTTTGTTTTTTTTGTCTAATGTTTATGTTCATTGTGTTTGTCTATGATGTTGAAAGGTCAGAGTGCCATCAAATTTTCTCAAATTATATTCCTATGCCTTCAAATATTCTTTGACCGGTAAGGTTGGCTTCGTTAATTCGATTATACATGTTCTAGTTATGCCTTTTCTGCTTATTATTTTGCATTTGATATTGCTCTAGATGTGAGGCAGAAAACCTTAGACATCGAAACTATATGCGACATGTTGGAGCTTATTCTAGGCTCGGATCATCGTGCTCAAGTGGATGCTCTTATCGCCTACCTGAAGGTATGAACCCTTTTATGCCTGCACAAATGTTTCAATAATTTTATTGAATCTTCTTTGAACACTCCCTTATCCTAAAAACTAATTTGCATCATAAAAGATAAGAAAATCGACGAAATAGTCGGAAAAAATGTTCTTGAGCACTCATAGAAATGTTACTATGTTGCTTTCAGGCTCAACGAGATTATTGGATGATTTCCAAGGATCAGTGGTTGGGATTCTATAGGTTCTGCAAAGAGGTTATCTAATGCTTCCCTTCTCTTTTGCATATCATTTGTCATTTTAATTTATAATTTTTTACTAGGTGTTTGGTATATAAAATATTGTAGAAAAAAAAAATCAATTGAGAAGGTAAAACAAAGAATTCAATCAAGAAAAAAAGATTATGAATAGATAAAGATAGAGAGGATGAATAGAATAAGACGAGATTTTAGGAAAATGAGAATTTGATAGAATTTAGGGTGTGCTTGTTTGTGAGTTTGATTTTTGGGTTTGGATTTTTTAACAGTAAAAATTTGAATTTGAATAGTTATTTGATATCGTTGGAAAAAAAAAGAATATCAAAGATAAATAATATTATTGTAGAGAAATATGTGGACGTGTTTAGTTGGTGATTTGTTTAAATATAATAATTTGGATGCACTATTTTGTAAAATCGAAATAATATATTTTTAAAGATAAACACATTTAGACGTTTTTCAAATTTCATTTTTTTCTTTATTTCAATGGACATAGAAAATAAAGAATGATAAATAATTAGTTTATCTAACTCAAACGAATAAGAAAAATTAAAATATTTATATTTTCCTCTACCAAACACACTTATAATCTAACATTTGATTATGATCCATTCATGATTTGTGGCAGATTAATTTTCCTAGCCTGAACAATTACAGTCTAGATCATGCTTGGCCTGTTATCCTCGACAACTTCGTCGAATGGATGAAGTCTACGAAGGAGTAGTCGTCGAAAGTTACAAAAACAAGGTTAAGCCAAACTCTTCTCATGTCAGTTAATATGTTGCATCTAAAGAAACAAAAAATAAATAAAAATCTATAACAATGTTAGAGTAAGTTTGAAGATACTCTTAGGGTGTGTTTGTTTGGGAGATTGGATTAGATTTTTACTATTCATCCCATTCCCCTCCCCCCAAAATATCAAATCAAACACCTATTTTTTATTTTTTATATTATACTAAAATTCAATTTTTTACATTCAAAACATCACATCAAACACCTATTTATATTACATCATACAACTATTCAAATTTAAAATTTTTACTATTCAAATCCCAACTCAAAATCCAAACTCTCAAACAAACACACCCTTAGATTATTCTTCGATTTGGTAGTGTTGGAAAATGTCCCAAAATATAAATAAAATAAACAAATAAATAAAAGAAGATGGTTATTTCCAACAGGTTTTGGCGAATGATGAAGGTGGTGAAGGTCATGTGCCAAAATTGATGTGGTGTGTAAAAATTAGTCCATTTTCTAATGTCATATTTGATATTTATACGTATTTTTAAGTAATTAGAATTTTTATTATAAAATGATAAATTTGTTCGTAATCTTTTATATAGAAAATGAAAGAGTAAATAAAGTAAAAATAAAAGAGTAAATTTTCCGTAGGACGTTAGTTTGTGGACGGAGGGAGAATTATATTTTTTTTTTTAAAAAAAATGTCATTACTTAATATAAAAAATAAGGACTTAATAAAAATGCCTACCTTCATGTAGCTCCGTAACTGCATATTATTTAATATGGATGGCTATAAATTGGGTAAGATTGGATATCCAATCTTATTAAAAAAAATTTAAATATATACATTAAAATATATAATATATATTTTATTTATTTAAAAAAATTACTATTATAATTTAATATAAAATATTAATTTTATATTATATTTTTTTGCTTAATATAAAAAATATATATATTTCAAATTAAAATACAAAAAAAATACCGACTTTGTTTATTGAATTATGGACTTTAATAAAATGAACATTAAAAAAATTAAAAACATTAAAAAAATCTATCAATATTTAGTACTCCCACTGTTTCTATCTAATATACATTTTTTTTTTTTTGCCATTTTCAATGTTTCATATATCCATATATATGCATTTGTTTCCTATTTTATATTAATAGTAAAATGTTTTTAATTTTTATATGAATTATAAATGTATTATTATATATATATCATACAAAATATCAAAATAATTTTACATATCTCACTTAATAAAATATTATTCTCTTCCTTCAGAAAAATTATGTAACTTTGGTTAGTTATATTATGAGATAGTAAAAAGTAACGTATAGTATTATGAAAAAATTATTTAGGAGTTAAAACAAAATATAGTGAGATAAATTTAAAAGGTAATGAAAGACCGATTATTTATTCTATTTTAAAGTTTGCATAATAAAATTATAGACAAATAAAATGATTGAATTTAGCAAACAATAAATATAAAATAAAATAAAATACTCCCTCCGTCCCACATACCATGTCCACGTTGCTGTTTCTGTTCGTCCCACATACCATATCACTTTCATTTTTTAAAAAATGATTATACACTTTAATTTCATTTTGAACTTTTTAATTTTATTTTTTTAAAATTTTAATTAAACTAATTAGTTATCTTAATCTTAATTTATAATTATTTATATTATAGGATAATTATTTTCACTAATACATTTTTAATTATCTACTAATTACACCCTTCCTAAAATACCGTATCTACGATGTAGCAGACACGGTACGTGGGACAGAGGTAGTAACTTTATCGGACAAGAAAGTCCATAATTTTTTAATTTTACTATAAAAATAAAAACACCTTAAATAGTGAGTATTATCTATTTTTGGGTAAAAGAATAAAAAAGTACAAGACTACCCTATCACATAGGGTATGTCCGATATAGTTTTTCCAATCTGATTTGCATTTACTATATTTGATCCGAACCTATCCTCGTCTTAACCTATAGGGATGACTTTTTGTCTACATATTTCAAATTTTATTTATTTATTTGATACTTCATTTTAGAACGCTTATTGTGCTTTTTTGGTCGAATTTTAAAAAATATATATGAAAATAGAATTTATTTTTTTTTTTAAGTAAAAAAAAAGTAGAAGAAATAATACTCTCTTCATCTCAAAAGTAGCACGAGATTTGAAAAAGATTAATACTTCCTCCGTCCCAAAAGAGTTGTCTTGTTTTTTTATTTTCGTTTGTCTCAAAACAATTGCACTGTTTTCTTATTTAGTAATCGTAGTCCCCACTTTATAACAAAATTATTCATACTTTTCTAAATTACCCCTAATTATTGCTCTAACCTACTTTTTAAAATTCTTCGAAAAATAAAGACATTTTAGTATTTTACATTCTATTTTATACCACTTTCCAACTCCCAACAAGATAAAGACCAGTGGCAATTGTATTATAGTAATGAAAAAGTATTGATAAATTTATGATGATATAGTTATTTATAAAAATGAAACCATTGTTTTGGGACGAACAAAAATGGTAAACAAAACTATTGTATTGGGACCAATGGAATATTTTTTATTAAAAAAATAATAAATTTCGATGACCGAGGGAATAGTAACTTCTAATAAAAATGAGTTACAATAAAACTAAATAAATAAATAAATATTACATCTGAACTTTCTTCACATTATAATGTACAATATTGTTTGATACAAAAATAAAATCTAAGACCACAAACAATTTCTCTTAAAAAATAAAAATTAAAATTAAAATCCAAGACCCTTTAGGCACCAAATACCTTTAAGATGTGCCTTCAAAAGAGACTCCTTTTTATTACAACATTTGAAGAAGAAAAAAAAATATGAACACAAAAGCAAACCAAAAAAAACAAATAACATTCTAACCAAAAGAATCAATCCCTTTTCCATTTTCTTTTATTTTTCATTTTTTGTAGTGAAATCAAAATTTTTGGCCTTCATACCTTTGCCGCGACGACGAGGGGAGGAGACAACGACAAAGAAGAAGACGAAGAACAAGAAGTCGAATTAAAGAACCTGCTCGAATGTTTCGCCGTTGTCAGCTTCTTCTTCTCCACTTGGCAGTCCTTCTCCCCGATCCTGCTGCTGCTCCCAACTTTAGTCGAATTCAATGGGACGACACATTTGCATAGTAAACCTACACAACACAACAATTTTATCCATCAATCGACGCCGAAAACACATCCCGTTTCCCATAAATTCCGTTATCATTTTGGTCATTACACATATGGATGTTTCCGGATATAAGGCACTTAAAAGACCCGCGAGACAAAATTAACATATAGGGTAAAAAATAATATCTAAAAGTCCAAGCGAACCTTCTAAATATTTTCAAAATTTTTAAAATTATATATTAGGGTAAAAAAAAACAAAAATTAACATGGCGTGGAAACTACCGATGGCTTGTCACATGTAATTTCCGGCATTCCACGTCGCCCAATGACTAAAAAGGTTCTATTTAGATAGAAGTTTGGAAATTTATAAAATAGTAAAAAATAAAAGCTTTGTTTTTTATTCAAATATGTTCATTCCGTTCCATCTTTTGTGTTCAATTTTCTGGAGATACGGGAATTTAGGTAAGAATAATTACTAAGTAACTAAAAATGTATTTAATAAAACTAATTATAGATTAAAATAACTTAAATAGTAGAATTAAGATTAAAAATATATATAAATTATGAAATTTAAGTTGTGATCATATTTCTTAAAAAGACAAATAAAGTGGGACGGACGAAAATAAAAATAGTGGACAAAAAATATGAGACGAAAAAAGTACTATTTTTTCTTATAAAATATCCATCAAAATACTTATTAAGCTAAATCACAAATCACAAATCAAAACCAAACAAATTCATAATATTTGTTGTTAAATTGTTAGTTTTGTGAGAAAAAACAGTCAGATGTGATTATTTTTTTAAAAAAAATAATAATAATTGACGATGAATATTACGAAAGTTACAAAAGTATCTATGTATGCAGAGCCTTATTCAGCCACAATTTCGACATTGTGGGAGTCCTAAAGTGATAAAAGCATCATGTGGAAGATAAAATTAAAAAAAATAAAAATTACGATCATTAATAGAGGACAATACTAAAATCACATAATTTTTACTTACCGATCCTGGCGAGACGATTGACCCATCGGGGAATGGCGTTACCGGTGAGACGTACGCAGGCGTCGTTGCAGAAATGGTTGCAGTTGTTGGCGATGAGATTGTACGCATCTCCCCTGTATTTATCCGCAAGCTCCTCCATCAATTCCTTCACCTCTCCACGGCTCATGCTCGTCCATCCCACCAATATCGATTTCCTCAACGTGATTCCTTCGCACTGCTTCGCCTCTGCCGCCTCGAATATCCCTGTCGATGGAAACTCATGAGCTCCGTACGCATACTCCACTCCATGAACTGCCATGCCCATCAATCACATTTCAGAGTTCCACAATTTGTAAAGGTGATTTCTACAATTTATCGGATGCTTGATCGATTTCGATAGGTATGGTCGTTAGTTTCGATTTGAATTGGAATTTAGAACAGCTTGGTGGAATCTAGGGTTTGTTTTGATTACCTTTTTTGAACTGCCATGGCCGTTAATCATACCTACATATTTCAGAATTCCGCAATTTGTAATGATAATTTCTACAATTCATCAAAAGCTTGCTCGATTTCGATGGGTATGGTCCCTAATGTCATTTGCAATTGGAATTTAGAGCAGTTTGGTAAAATCTAGGGTTAAGATTTTAAAATTCCACAATTCGAAATGCTATTTTCTACAATTCATCAAATGCTTGCTCGATTTCGATAGGTACGCACTAATTTCAATTGAAATTCGAATTCACAACACTTTGGTGGAATCTAGGGTTTATTCAGATTACCTTTCTCAGTTTTTGCAGAATATTTCTACAGCGAAGGTTTCGTTAGCAGATCTGAGCGAAGAATTGAAGCAAAAAAGAAAGGAAAAAAAAATGTTTGGAGAAGAAACTGACCACGAACGCCGGAGTGGAAGACGCCGAGTCCAAGCCAGTAAGCGTAGCCATTGACGGAGGAGAGATCGTACACATTTAGATGAACCGCCACCGATCCAGGCCTCGGCTTAATCGAACTCTTCCAGCAAACCACCATTGCTGAAATGCTCAGATGAACACCAAACCTCTTTTCCTCTAAAAAAGCCCTAAATTACGTGATTTCTTCAACCAAAACTTCCTCCGACCGAAAACGCCGCCGATTGTGCGGCCGCCGCGGCAATTTGTTCAACTGATTCTTCCGGTAATAACCGAAAACGCCAAGCAATTGTCTGGAAATGAATCGGTGGGTGGGACAGAGCGTGCGGTGGAATTTGGTGAAAAAGGAGTGGCGTCGAATCTCAAATGGCTGCTGTTCTTGCGGCTTTCATCATTCCTTTTTCAATATAAAATGATATTTAAACAATATTAAATATTAGTACTATTTAAAAAATATAGTAATATATACATACCATCGATTTCTTTTTTCATAATTCTCTTTTTTTTTTTTTATAGAATTTTGAATATATATTTTGTTTTTTTATAAAAAACAAATTAAAATAGAAAAATTAAATTAAAATACTAAATAAAAATATATTTTTTATTTATTCAAAAAATAAATAAATAATTTAATAAAAAAAATATTATTTTTTATTATTAATATAATTTTTATATTTAACATGAAAAATATATTTATTCAAAAAAATAAAATGAACCCACTCAAATAAAATTACATTAAGAAATATAAAATAATGAAAATTATTTTCTTTAATAAATATAAGAATTATTATTAATTAATTAAAAGGAAAAGTATCGAGTGTTTATATTTTTCTTTAAAAAAATATATATATATTATTGATATTTATTATTTTTATATTCTCTCTGTACAATTTATATTGTCCATTAAAAGTAATAAATGAATAAATGATAACAATGTAAAATTTGTGTTTAAAAAATAAAATAAGTCAATAGTTGTTGAACTGTCCCAAATAAAAAATAGAATATTATAATTTATGGACGGAGATAGTATTATTTATATATATTTTTATTATTCATATAAAAAAATTAAAAAATAATTTATTTTTTTCAAATAATTTTAACAAAAAAAAAAAAATGCACACCCAAAATTACCAATAAATTATCCATTAAAGTCATTCAAATAATTCTGATGATCAGTACTTGAGTAAGTATTTTAAATTGTAATAATTGAAGTATTATGGATAATCACTTCTAAAATCTTGTATACTGTGTGCATTTAATATGATATTTCCTTCCCATGATGAAAATCTATTTGAATTATTATACTCCCTCCCACCATAATTGAACCCTTTAATTAGAGACACGCTGTTTAAGGTAAAGATATTTAATTAATTAATAAATAATAGTTAGTTATGATATTATAATATTATTTTTTATATAATTAATAATATTTATAATTTTAAAGTAAATTTAATATATATAATTAAAAAAATTAAAATATATGTTTAAATATTTAAAAATTATATAGAAATTAAAAAATATATGCAATATAGATATCATTTTATAGAGATTAAAATATTCTATAATACAAATAAATAGATATATTTTTATTTATTTATAATTAACATAAATCAATTTTATAAAAGATGTGTAGTTTTAAATATAGATAAAAATATTTATTCTTTTTAGGAGAGATATAGAAATAAAAGAGTTTTGAGTGGGTACTACGTCATTTATGATATTGTATAATTAAGTTGATTTATATTTGTTAAATATGTTTTAATTTAACAAGTTTTACCAAAAAATAGAAATATGTCAATTGTAACGGGACAGACAAAAATAGAAATAGTGACAATTGCGGTGGGACAAAGAATAATAGATTGAAAATATATATATGTAAAATAGTTTTAATATTTATGTCATTTATATTTTATGCATATAAGTGTAATAGTATTATTCTAATTTATAGTACTTCATTTATCCCCCAAAATTGGTTACATTTCTTTTATAATTTACAAAAAAAAAAAAATGTAACTAATTTTGATAGATGGATGAAATATTATTATTTTTTTAATAAAAAAATTGATATTTTTGAATGTCACTTATAAAATAATAACAATAGTAATTTCACTTAGGATTGAAGGAATATTACATAAGAAAAAAAAATAAAATTGAAGATTTCACATAAATTTTTGAATATTAGCATTATATTAAATTATAATAGAAAAGACAAAAATATCTCTATTAGTATAATGTAATATAAAAGTAATAGTATTTGTGTAATATATTGTAAGTTGAAAAAATATTTACTATGTACGATTGATATAATAATAACATAAATACTCAATTATAAGTCATTCCACTTGGGCTTCTATAGGCCCAAATAATAAAAGCCCAAATTTAGATATTGTACGGAAACCAAAATGATAACACGAAGAAGAAAGAGAAAAAAAGAAAATGAAAACTGGGAATGGCGAAGGAAGGCAAAACCCTCCTTAAACCCTAATCGCAGATTCGATCAATTTCGACGAATCAATCAGGCAAGATGGCTCATCGTTTATTGCTCCGAGGATTGCGAGGAGCAGTGCGGAATCTGGTTACCCGTCAACAATCCAATCCCCTCAATTATTGTCACAAATCTTCGATTAGAAACTACGTGTCGGAAATGCGCAAATCGGCGTTCGAAGGCAACATTCTCCGGCTTATTCGGAACGAGATTCAGTACGAGCTTGAGCGTTCTCCGCCATCTGAGGTACTCACTCGACGCTGATTAGTTTTAATTTTCGTTCGCGGCGAAGAGTTGTTCGTTCGGTACTCATTGATTTGTAATCTCCCTTAAATCTTATTTTTTTTTCTGGTGCTGGTTTGATTGCTGTAGGGTTATTAGGAGATTTGCGAGTGTTCTAGGGTTTTAATGCGCGTGATTTTCGAATTTGTAGAAGTTAGTTCGATACTGCGAAATGAATTCGAATTTGACAGTTTGTGAATTTGAAATTTGATCGAAAGTTCTTGTAGCAACTAGCAAAAAGCTTTTAAGCTAAATTGGGGGCTACGATTGTAATCTGATAGGTTAACCTCAATTGAAATTGTTTGATTTTGGTGAGCTCTGTGATCAACAGTCTAAGATCAATGCCTGTTTTGATCTCATTCGAAATGTTGCTATTGAATAGAATTTATTCGAAATCACGTAATTTCCGAAGTTTTTTCTTGCAAGAACCATTATATATTGCACCGATGCAGTTCTTAATCTTGGCTTAATTTATAGAACACATCTTCATCGTACATTTCTTATTCGACTGGTTCACGACATTCCTACCATGTGTATATCTCTACAGCTTGTAGGAGAATTCAATTCATTCACGATTGATGAATGCCGGGGCGAGCAGTGGATTCGACTGAGCAAGAAATACAGTGAGAGTGAAGAAATTAAAATCGACGTAACTATGTTTGATGGATCTGTACCCGTGGAAAAGTACGATGGATCTTCGGAGGATGTGAAGCTTCATATAACTTTGATCGTCGATATCTTCAAGGGCGAGAGCAGCCGTGTTCTGGAATTTTTATGCTCTGCATGGCCGGATAGTATAGAAATTCGTAATGTGTTTACACGCGATCGTGATCAAATGAAAATGCAGCCGCATATGGGCCCTGAATTCAAGTACGTGTTTCGTTCACTTCTGTTATGTTGTAAGACTATATAATACTCCCTCTGTCCCGGATGTTTATGCTTGTTTAGTTGAACTCATTGACTAAGAAATAGCAGTATTTTAATATAAGAATAAGATAGGTAAAAAATATAGTGGGATATCATGAAAAATTTATTAAATTAATAAGAAAACAACTCTAGGATAAGTAGAAAAATAGTGACAAATTAATTATTATTTGTTAAAGTAGAAATAGTGAAATCGTAGGCGGATAAAATTATTTACTGTAAATGAATTATGCACTATTATCCCGGATGGAGGGAGTATGATAATGATGTATTTTCATCTAAGTTTAAATTTTTAAGGGAAATGATCATCTAACATAATATCGAAGCGGGTGGAAGACTATATAAAATGTAATTAATAATACATTTTCCTACAAGTTTGAAATTTTAGGTGAGATGATCATTTAATCTGGTTATATTTTTTCGTCGATCCTTTTTTGTCATAATTTTTCCTCTAACATTTGTGTATCGTTTCGGTTTTCAGGGAATTGTCGGACGAACTTCAGGATTCTCTCTACGAATTCTTGGAGTCAAGGGGCGTAGACGATAAGCTAGCTGAATTTGTACATCTCTATATGAGGAGGAAAGACGAGAGCGAGTACGTACGGTGGATGGAAAATCTCAAATCTTTTATTCAGAAGAAATAGAGAAAAATCTTTCGAGGTACTTTGGCTGCTGCCCTATTCTTCTATTATTTACTATTCTTCGGCATTGTTAGATTTGTTTCTATAAGGGAAGAACCGGCTTTAAACTAGATCGGTGGCTTCTAGAAAGTCATCTCCGGGATCGATAGTAAAATTCGCTCTAGTAGCAAAGATGCATTTCCCTTTCATCGACTTGCCGATGAAATATGGGTCGAAAATATCTTAAACTCGGCTTAGGGTCCAGAGACTCCACCGATATTACATCGGTTCGTCTCTCCCAACTTTGAATCCTCACTCTGGTTTAACTAACTCGGGATTCAAGAACAGACGTGGAAACCAAACATTTAGATGTTGTGATGTTCTGTAAGAAGAAATAGTGAATTTTTATTGAGAATCCTAAAGATTGCATAGGAAAAATATTGAAAAGATTCTCAAAGTAAACAGACTTTTAAAACAAACACTATATATCGAATATGATATTTATTCGAAAGAAAAATATATAGCGACAAACATATACTAGGAAACTATGGCTTCGGATTTGAAATTTTTTGGAGTTTTGAAAATTGTCGAGAATAATAAAATGTTACTGAGTATTAGATCATTAGATGTGATGTTCTATGAGAAAAAAATATATATTTGATGTCATTATATGTTTTGAAAAAGTTACTATTTGTTAACTAATAATGCCAAAAATTTTAGAAGCATCTATGTAAATGGTTTGACTCATTTTAGAAAAGTTCGATATTACATTCTCTCCTATTGTTGAAATACACTAAGGGCGTGTTTGTTTGGGGGATTGGATTTTAAATTCACTATTCATCCCATTTTTCTCTCAAAAAAATCAAATCAAACATTTATTTTATATTTTTTATATTATACTAAAAATCAATTTTACATTTAAAACATCACATCAACACCTATTTATATCACATCATATAACTATTCAAATTCAATTTTTTACTATTCAAATCTCAACTCAAAATTCAAACCCTCGAACAAACACATCCTAGCAGGAAGGAAAACATCATAAGGGAATATTGACAAAAAAAATTCTTCGAACAACATTATTATTCGAAGAATATAATGGTACCGTATATTTCTACAATAGTCTTTGTCGACGAACAAAGATTTGGGTCTTTTTTTTTTCTTTTTTCTCGTCTTGGAAATATCTGGTTTAGATTTTGTATTTAAATAAAATTTGACTATTTTGTGAGATAATTTTTTATATATATATAGAAAGTTTTAGGAAATTTGAATTAAAGAAACACAATGTTTAGCCTTAAGTTTGTTCGATGGATTAGAACTTGTAATACGAGATTGTTTGACTTTTGACTCTTGTAAATAAGCACTTGGCTAAACTAGATCTTTAATAAGTCAAATAAATTGGGGATTATTTTATTTAAATCACACGTAATTATGATAACGACTAAAGCACAAAATCAAACACGATCTTGTTCTTTGAACCATTGCAATTTTTAGTTATCTATTTATTTATTTCATTTCATTTAAAATCATACATATTGATGTGATGCCGTAAAATTTTTAAATAAATGAGTGACATTTTTTCTTTATTTTTCTCTAGAAGGGTGCTTACACTTAAATGACACTGTGCTAATTTGATCGAGTTAGCACACTAATATGAAATAATTAGTATTTCATTACAAGATTGATATAATCAAGTTAGCACACTAATATGAAATAATTAGTATTTCATTACAAGACTGATATAATTAAGTTAACACACTAATATGAAATAATTAGTATTTCATCACAAGCCGATAATGTGTGAATTATATATTGTGTTGAAATTAATATATATTGTATTAATATTTGTGGTGTGAATTATATATTGTATTGTGTTATATAATCTATTTATTAAAATATATTGTGTTATATATAATTATATAATGTGTCATCAAAATATGTCTGTTGATTGAGCCAAATTAGCACGTGCTAATTATATAATATGCAACATGTAATTATATAATATACTATCAAAGTATGTGTTATATATTATATTAATATATGCACAATTTTTTAAAAAAATATATGTCGATTGAGTCAAATATATTATATTGTTTTGGGACGGTAACCAAAACATTTTCTCTAATATATATTGTTTCTTTATTGTATATTATTTGATGCACTAAAATTATACTCCCTCCGTCCCACATATTTCGTCCTTATTTTCTATTTTCGTCTGTCTTATATAACTTGTCTTTTTTATTTTTGGAAATATAATTATGCACTTTAATCGCATTTTAAATTTTACATTTTATAATTTTCTTAATTTTAATTAAACTATTTACTTATCTTAATCTTAATCTATAATTATTTTTACTAATACACTTTTTAATTATTTATTAATTATACTTTATGTAAATTTCCGTATTTACAGTAATAGTACCATATTTTTTGGGACGGACGGAGTAATACATTATGCTATATAAAATTATTTAACGTGTTATTATCATATATATATATATATGTATATGTGATTCAATTAGCATAATAATCAAAACATAAATTCAATGGATAATACTTTCTCCGTTTCCTAATAATTTATCTATTTTTTTATTTTGATTTATCTCACAATAAGATATCAATTTTTTTAGTGAATGTATTATCTACGTAATAAAATTTATAATATATTATACAAATGTTATTATGTTTATATCATATTATACTAATAAGGTTATTTTAGTCAATTCTATTTTATTAATATTATATATTTTAAATTTAGTAAAAAAAAATAAATAAATTGATATTTACTCAAGGACAGATGCAGTAAAAAAAATACTCAATTTAGGGTGTGTTTGTTTGGTGAATTTTGTAAGATTTCTACTGTGCATTCAATTTTTTCTCTAAAAAATATCAAATCAAATACTTATTTTTTATTTTTTATTTTCTATATTATACTTTTAAAAAAAAACCGTTCAAATTTCAATTCAAAATTTAAACTTCCAAACAAACACACCCTTGTACTTTGTCCTTTAAAAACTATCTATTTTTTAATTTTAGTTCATTTCATAATAAAAGTATTTTTTTTTGTATTGTACTGTCTATTTAACATTACAAATATCATTTTAATTTATACTCCTCTATCCCACATAATTTGTCTCTATTTTATATTTTCATATGTCCCATATAACTTGTCATTTCTATTTTTTGAAATATAATTATGCACTTTAATCGCATTTTAAATTTTAAATTTTATAATTTTTTTAATTTTAATTAAATTATTTATTTATCTTAATCTTAATCTATATTATTTTTATTAAATTATTATTATTTTTACTAATATATTTTAAAATTACTTACTAATTATATTTTACCCAAATTTTCATATCTTTCTATATTTTCTGAGACGGAGAAAAGTAATATATTACACAATATTATTATATTTATATCATACATTACTAATAAAGTTATTTTAATATTTTTTATTTGGAGACAGGCGGAGTATAAGATATTGATGAAGACAGCGGTGAATAGATAGTCTATTTTTGCAGCTGCTGGTGGGTCATAATTAATCTGTCGTTACATCAAATCAAATCTTAGCCGTCCATTTCCTTAATTAAATCGTCCGAATGTACGGATGGATGGGTGCAATTACTTAATTAACCCTGCATATTTAATTAAATTCCAATACGTCATGAGATTATATTTGATCCACCTGACCTGATTCTTACACAATTTATAATTATTTTATTTATTTTCGTGACAACTTTAATTTGATTTCTCAATTAATTAATTAATTAATTCAAATCCCGACAAAACTATCTATTTCCAATTGCATCATTTTTGTGGATTAAGTGAGTTATTTATGGGAGTAGATTTCCAGCACATTCTTGACATCTTTTATATTTCAAAGTTTTTTAAAATAAATTAAATATATGTATTTTTTTTTTTTTGGTTTTGTTTATTTACAATTTTTTTTATTTATAGTAACAAAATTTACACACTTGATTTATACTATTAGACAATATTTTACTTATTTATAAATATGTGAAAATTATTTCTACATTGAATTTATTTATAATTTTATCTCACTTTATTAATTATTTAGAATTAAGTGTGCTTTAAATATTACATTTTATTTTTCATCTATTTTTATATAATTTATTTTCTAATTATACATTTTAAATTTCATTATTTATAATTATATAATTTTAATAATTAAAATTAAAATACTCCCTCTGTCCATAAACTAATATCATATTTTTTTCTATTTGGAACGTTCAACAATTATTGTTTATTTATGTTTTTCTAAACATAAATTTTACATTTTTATCCTTCATTTATTTATATATTATAGGACAATAGAAACTGAACGGATAGAGTATATCATAATTTAGAGAGGGAAAGTAAGATTGCATTCAACTTTTTTATTATCGAAATTAAAATGAATAAAAATTCATGCAACATAGTAAGAATCATTCATATAAAAAAAAATTAAAAAAAAAAAAATCGAAATTTTTATCAAGAAAATTGATCAGATCAGAGCCTAAGAGACAAATCCAATTTCTTCACATCCTCTTTTTTTCTATTATTATTATTATTATTATTATTATTAATCTCCATTCTGAGCCCTCCGATGAGCCCATCGGCGGCGAATCTCCGGCCACCGTCAAATCTAGCCGCTCCTCCGAGCGACGGCGGCGGCGCCGCCTGATTCAGCAGCTTTCTCCCCCAGCTCGGCTGTCCGTACGCCGCCGGCGCGGCGGCTCCGTAGCTCGGCTTATGGATCATTGAATGAGCCTGAATTCCTAGCGACCGGCCGAAAGAGCCGTGGAGCGGCAGAGGGTATCCGACGGCAGCGCCGCCGCGGCGGGCGATGGTCCGCTCGCGCTTGTGAGCGTTCTGGTGGCCGCCGAGCGCCTGAGAACTGTAGAATTTCCTGGTGCAGTAGTTGCAGGAGAAGGTGCGGTTCCCGTCCGGTGCGGTTCCTACAGTTAGAGCAGAAAGCGTGTTTTGGGGAATTAGTTCATCAGAAGGGATTTGGAGAGTGAGGTCAAGATCAAGATGATCAAGAACAAGGTTAGGGTTGTTGTTGTTTTTGTTCTTGATCTGATCATATAATAATTGATGATTTTCTTGATGAGAGATTAGTGATTCTTTTGAGGGTTTGTTTGGGAATGAAGATCTTGATGATGATGAAGATGATGATTGGGGATTAGGGTTTTGAATATTTGGGGATTTTTGATTTGATGAAGAATATGGAGGAGGAGGAGGAGGAGGAGCCTCCATATATGGGAGGGGATTTTAGTTCAAATTTGGATTCTTGGTTCCACCAAAAATGAAAAATTTAAATAAAGGAGTATTTTAAATGGTTAGTGGGATGTTTTTGATTGATTGAAAGAAATTAAATGAAATGCTGTTTTATTACAGTTACAATACACTAATTATAGGAAGGATCTGGGGTTTGGTTGGGTGGTTCTTGGAGGGTCCATGGACTTCAGGTCCAGGTTGATTCTAGTCGGAAAGTTTTGGCAGTGGGTAGGGGTGGAAAATGATCATATGTATCTATTTAGGGTGTGTTTAGGGTTTACGAGGTTTTGGGGAAATTAGTGTTTTGGATTTGATTTTTATTTGAATTTTGAAATGAGTTTGAATTTTGATATTTATTTTGGGTTTGAATTTGGTCGGAGCAAGGAGTTTTAATGTGTATTGATTTGATGAGTATGAATATAATAATATAAATGTATAGTAATTTGTATAATTTAATTATAAATTTATATTATATTTATATATTTTTTTTAAATTTTTATTTATTTGTATTATAAAAAAAATTATTCTCTACAAAATGATATATATTGTATATATTTTATTAAATTATAATTATTATAATTTTTTTTTATATTTGTAATTTTTAAAAAAAAATGACAGACTTTGTCCCCCGAGTCTGTCCCTCGAACCCCCTCCAGGATCACTGTGCAAACAGTATTTGTTTGCACAGTTATCTAGCTCAAAACTGGATTGGAGAAACAAATTCTTAGTTTTTATATATTAAATTTTAATATATTAATATTTTATAAAGAATACTGTAATAGAAGTATAAAAAGATAATTTTGTCCTTAGATTAACTTATATTTCAATGAGATTGTAATATTGTGTAAATATTTTTACTAAAAATAAAACACATATATTTGAGTTTAATAGATTAAAATAACAAAATTATTATATATAATTCGGGTGAAAGGAATATTACAATACCGCACATACTGCACTGAAAAAATATCAAAAATAATGAAATTTTGATATATAAAAAGTTATGATACATAATAGCATATAAATTGATATTTTCGTATATACCAAGATGCCGAGATAATTTCGGTATTTTGATATACCATATATCATTTTGGTGTTTTTGATATTCAATATATCGATATATATTGATAATTTTGATATACTGAATTATTGATACAGTATGATATATATATATTTATTAAATTGAACTTTCGGTATACTTTAAGATTTGTATATAAAATAAGATTCTTGATATGATTAAGACAATCATATTTTTGTATGTTTTTGTGTCTTGGGTAAGTTTTTACTCTCTCCGTCCCAGATAACTGTTTCTGTCCGTCCCATATACCATGTCACTTTTCTTTTTTGGAAAATGATTACACATTTTAATCTCATTTTAAATTTTTAATTTTTTTTTTAAATTTTAATTAAACTAATTAGTTATCTTAATCTTAATTTATAATTATTTATATTATAAGATAATTATTTTCATTAATATATTTTTAATTATCTACTAATTACACTCCTCCTAAAATACCGTGTCTACAGTGTAGCAGACACGGTATCCGAGACGGAGGGAGTATTTTTTTTACTTTCTTTGTGTTGTAATTTGTCACTTTTAGGATGTTTTGTCGAATGGGGTTTTGCCCAATTTGGGTAATTTTGTAATGAAAAATAATGTCACTATTTTAACATGTATTTAGTGAAATAAACTTTGGATATAAATCAAACCAATAAAATTATTGCAATGGTTGAATAAATTAGAATAGAGGGGCCTTTGTCTTTATACAAATACATACATAAATAAATAAAACCTACCTTGAATATGAAATTTAAGAATGAAAATGATATTTGAATATGATTTTTTTATAAAGAAATTAAAAGCTAAAAGAAAAAACTATGTATGCATCAAAAATATATTTTATTGTGAATTATACAAAATTATAAATTTATACTCCCTCCAATTTTTTTTTAATTCAAAGTATCATTTTTATCGTTTTTATTCCAAGTATTTATTTCTTATTTTTAGTAAAAGTAATTATAAACTAATATTAAATACTCTTTAATTTGATCTAAATTACAAATATATCATTACACATTACAATTTTTATATATATAAAATTAAAAGACAAAAATGTCAAAATCTTTTACACACCTCCGCTGACCAATAAAATATATATATTTTAAATTTATTACACAACACCAAAGAACCCATTTAAAATAAGACAGATGGATTTATAAATAATTTATGAAATACAACAATATAGTTGTGTACATAATAATAATAATAATAATAATAATAATAAAGTAAAATTGCTTTCATGAATAGAGTGAAGAAAAAGTACTTATAATTAAAGTATAATCACTAACAAACATGAGATTATTTTGTGAGATTAATAATTTATTACAAGGCCAATATTTTAATTTTCAATAATGAGTAATTAACTATTGATTTATTATTTTTTATTGTGGGCTGTTATTATTATTATTATTATTATTATTAGTGTTACTGTTGATTTTTCTTAATTTCCACATTATAAATTAATTTATTTGGAGTTTGAAATTTGAATTTGAAAGAATATTAATGACAGCTCTGTTATGTAACTTAATTAATGGAATATAAATATTGATTATTCTCTTTAATTATAATTGTATTGTTATTGAAATAATGAAACTTTTGTTTTTAGTTTATTAAAAATTAAAATGAATATATAATAAGAAATTTATTGAATTATTAAAAAAAAAATATTAATGGGATAAGTAAAAAATAATATTCCCTCGATCCATGACAAAGTATCCATTTGTCTTTTGTATAAATGTCATTATATTAATGTTATAAGACACCAATAGAAGTATTTTTGTTATTTTCTCTTTATTTGTAATACGATTTGATATAATAATTAATATTCAAATATCAACACGCAAAAAGTAATTGATATATTGTTATGGGACGGAGAAAATATTAACAAATTGATTGTTATTTATTAAAGTGAGAATATTGAAATTATGAGTTGATAAAATTATTTAATTTAAATATATTGTGAATAAATTTAGTGAATGACAAATAAATATTTATATAATTTTTAAAACGTTACAAAATAAATAGGAAAAAACAATGTGCATGTATATAGAAGTGTTGAATATGATCTATAAGTGTCCCCAACAATGACACGTCATTATGTTTGTATGTAAATTATAATTTTGGATTTGAATTTTTAATAGTAAAAGTTTGAATTGAATAATTATTTATTACGATATAAATAAATATGAATGTGCTATTTTGAATGTGAGATTAAATTTGAATTTAATATAAAAATAAAAAATAATTATTCGATAACAACTATAATTTTGGATTTGAATTTTTAATCGTAAAAATTTCTTGATAGCAACTGTATTTCCAAAAAATGATCACTTGTATTGTAATAGTTAGACATGAATATGGAGGTGGCGATCGATGACGGCCGATAGAATTTTGCGTATGGTTCTTACGAGCTCCTTGGACCTCCAAACCCTAAATTGATCGACACTATGTGTCTATCATCGGCAAATGGTAGTTTTGTGCACGGTTCTTGGAAACACCACGGACCGCTCAAGATCAAATCGACGAATACCGTATGTCCTCGACGAGAACCATCTGGGACCGAGGTCCCGGGATCTCCCAAGAATAGCCCATTGCTTTATATAGTAGGGTTTGTCCAATAATGGGAAAGAAACAAAAAAAACAAGATAACAACATATCATACATTGCTTTATTGCTTTAAGGAAATTGGGTAGGAAGGAATCATGTTTTAGATTTTATTGTCTCTATATCTTTGAGTAGTGATAATAACATTAGCTATTGTTGTTTTTCTTTTTTTCTTTTTTTTTTTTTTTTTTTTTTTTTAATAACGTGAGAATCCGCAATCGCTACCCGAGTTATTGTTGTTATTTTTATTTGGGTAAATAGTGTATAATGCTAAAAAAAGAAGATTTCTTCCATCCCAGCCAAAATATCTACGTTACTGTAGACACGAGAATTTAAAAAAATATAATTAATGAATAATTATAAAAAAATATATTAGTCAAAACAATTATTGTGTAATACTGAGAATTATACATTAAAATTTAAATAATTTAATTAAAATTAAGAAAATTATAAATTATAAAATTTAAAATATGATTAGAGTGTATAATATTTTTCAAAAAAAAAATGAATATTTTATGTGAGACGGATAAAGTATCATTATAAAAATATTTATTTTTTTTGCCGTATACTTTTTCGACACAAAGAAACAACCAAAACCCGGAAATAATAGCAAATTCTTGAACCCTTTGGTTGGGTTATCTAATGTTTTATAGTCAAAAAGTTGGCACAAAGTTAAGTTTGTGTGTACATGTGATTAATTGAAGTGAACAACTTGTGTAGGTTGTTAAAAGCTACACTTTTTTTTGACTAAGTTCATTGCCTAAATGTCTCATTTTGGTCTATTGTTGATTATGACTTGTTACTATCATTTTTATTTTTTATAATAATATTATTATTTTATTTGAGCAGTGTATTGTGATAAATAAAAATATGGGCAGATTGGTTTTTATTTGTGTTTAAACAATAATTTGATACGATATTTTGAAAAAATAAAATAAAATAATACGGAATATATTTTTATAAAATATATTTTGCCAACATTTTCTTAGAAAGCTACAAGAAAAGAGAAAATATTCCGTCCGTTCACTTATTATTTTTAAATTAATTGATTTGATATGTGGTATAGGAGCTGAGTTGCTAATATTAAAAATAATATTTTGTGTTAAATGATTGATTTTTATGAGTAGATAGTATTATGTATTATATTATTGTGTGTGTATATTTGTATTTTTAATACTCCATCCGTCTCATAATAAACTATTTATTTTTCTATTTTGGTCTGTCCACGACAAAGTATCCATTTATTTTTTTAGTAAATGTACTATCTATATAATATTACAAATATTCTTATAACTTCTAATATATTATATAAATATCATTACATTTATATCACATAATACTAATAAGGTTATTTTAGTCATTTATACTCTATTCCTACTATATCCAAATATAATACTAATATTTCTAAAACTTCGTGCAAAAAGCAAATGAATACATGGTTATTGGACGGAGAGAGTAATATTTATGAAGAATTGTTCTATTAAAAAAAATTAAATGAACAGACTGAATATCTATATATTATGGTCTTTGTGAATTTAGTTAAAATACTAAAATATTGTTTTATAAAAACCAAATGACAAAATCAACAGTAAAATATATACACACATAGAAGAAATTAATATATATATATATATGTATTTTTCCAAGTGGTAAGATGTATAATGTGCATTTAAAGGGTTTGTTTATTTATTTTATTTTTTTCATTATTTAATATTCTTATATATACATATATTTAAAATTAATTGTTATTCTCAAAATGTAAACAATTTACACGCACATTCTTCTTTCTATTTTTTTTTATTGCTTTTAATTTCAATTTATTTTATAAAGTAGTATAATTGAATGAAATATACACACATATGTTTTTAGAAAATTAAAAATATATTAACATTTTACATGAAATAAACTGCAAATAAAAGTGTGTAGAATAAAATATTTTTAAAAATATATATACACCATAAAATAAGTTAATTTTATATTGATAATTTTAAGTAAAATATCATGACATTTTATTATTGTTTAGAACCATATTTGTCAAATTATGAAATATATATTGACTATGGACAGCTCAAAATGCTAAACTAAAGATTCTCTATTTGTTCGTCATCAATGTAACTATTTTTTCATGTAATTATATCCAATTTAAATGTATTTTTTTCTTTTTTAAAAAAAATAATAAAAAAAAATTGTACTTTTAACTTTAATAAGAAAAAATATTTACACACTTTACATAATATTACAAATAATATCATTAAAAATTAAAAATAAATTTGAAGACAAAATTACCGTTTATATGTATATTGTATTATTATATATAAAATACTAATATACTAAAATTTATTTGAAAAATCAAATGGTTACATTTGCATATTAATTATGGGCATAAGTAGTATAATTTAAGCTCTGTTTAAATAGATATTTTTTAGAATTTTAGAAATAAAAAATAATATGATTTTAAAAAAAATAAAAATAAATAAATTATATTGATTAATATTTCCAAATCATGTAAACATAGAGAGTTTTTTAGAAACAATTTTTTTTTTTTTTTTAAGAGTTTTAGTTTATTGAACAGCTGTTTGGTTAGTCAAAAAACTAATTTAGGTGTTTGGTAAATTATTTTTTGAAATAAATTTTAAGATCCAAAAAGCTAATTTATAAAAAGCTCATTTTGAAAGAGTTTTTTTCATTTTCATTTTAATTATTCCTAATTTACCCTTAACACTTAATTATTTATTTTATACATATAAATTTATTTTTATAGTCGTATTTATTAATTATATTTAATATATTTAATTATTAAATTATATTTTTATTTTTTTAAATTTAAAATAATTACTATTATTAATTATTACATATAAATTATTTTATTTGTAAAATATATAAAATTTTAAAACTAAATCAAATAGAAAAAACAAATGTTATTAATTTATTTATATATATTAAAACAATAATTAACATAATAAAAATATATATACTAAAGATTTATTATTTTATATTTTACATAATTTCAATAAAAAATTATTTTTTTAGTAAAAATAATTTTCTCAGATCTAAATAATAAAAATAAAAATAAATATTTTATAATATTTTTATAATTTTCAATAATTAATAACAAATATTCTCATAAATTTCAAACGAAAATGAACAAAATTAAATATTTTAAAAAATAACGTATCAATGTCCTTAATAGTCATTTTATGTATAAACAGTTAATGTCAAACAGTTGTTTTATCAAACACTTTAATATAAACCACCAGTTGAATCAGCTAACATCTAAAAATTATCGGCTAATCAACTAATTGTCAAACGTACTCTTAATTTCATTTAAATAATTCGTTCATAGATATTATTTGGGCCCCAAAGCCCATTTGAAGCACAAATGATTGGACAAATATATACAGGAATTTAAATACATTGAATAATGGTAGGTTTTATTTATTTATTTTATTATTAATAATTACTACCTCCGTTCCATGTAATATGAGTGTATTACTGTAGATACGAAAATTTAGGTAAAGTATAATTAATAAATAATTAAGAAGTGTATTAGTAAAAATAATTATAGATTAAGGTTAAGATAAGTAAATAGTTTAATTAAAATTAAAAAAATTATAAAATTTAAAATTTAAAATGCGATTAAAGTGCATAATTATATTTTCAAAAATAGAAAGGATAAGTTATGTGGGACGGACGAAAATAAAAAATAGGAACAAATTATGTGAGACGGAGGGAGTACAATTTATATTTCTTTCTGAAAAAAAAAATATGACACTTTTAGTTTGCGGCAAGATATTTAAGATAGTGAAATTTAATAAGTTAATAATAGTAATTTATTATATTATTTTATTTAAGATTTTTTAAATGAATGATATGTTGATACTTTAATATTATTTAAATTTTAGGCTGTTTAATTAAATTTATTTTATATTTAAAATTAATAAATTTAAATGTTTTGCAATAATTTAAGTATCTTTTTAAATATATTTAATATTAATAAATTTATTAAAAATAAAAATATATCAATTGTTATTGAATAAATTAAAGTTAAAAAACTATATCAATTATTATGAAATATAAAGAATAAAATAAATATTTTATTATTATTATTTTTTAAAAAATGTAAATAGGATAAACAAACTCAAATCATTCAAACAAAGACACCATCGATAAATACATTCTCAATTTTAACAAAATTTATAATAAAGTATATGTATTTAAAAAACCCCTAATTTTATTTATGAAATAAAAATTTGAATTCCATTTAAATACAGGTTAAAAAATTTGAAAAGTAGTTTGATAATAATAAAATTTAATACTCCCTCCTCCGTCCCAAAACTATGGTCTGAGTTGTGTTTGTCACAATATTTAAGGAATATTGATATTATTTTGATAGTGGGTAAAAAGTATGGGTAAAAGACTTATTTGCCCTTGTGAGTGTATTAATATAAAAATAGTAGCAATTGTGTAATAATAATGAAAAAGTAAGGGTAATTTTATAGTGATATGGTTATTTATGAAAATGAGACTACTATTTTGGGACGAACAAAAATGGTAAATAGGATTATTGTATTGGGACGGAGGGAGTATTTCAAATTAAAATTAATACTATTCGTCATTCATAATTTTCAATAAAAATATACTCCCTCCGTCCACTTACAATGTTTACATATTTCTATTTTGGGATGTCCAATTACAAAGTTAACATTTCATTAAATACCCTATTTTTTCCACAAATACTCTTACTTTACATCACATCATTACTTTTACACAAAAAAGTAAGGGCAAAAATATCATTACACTACTTTTAACTACTAACTGTAATTAAAATACTATTATTTCTTAAACACCGCGCCAAAAGTAAATATAAACCTTGTAAATAGACTGAGGGAGTATTATTTTATGTTTATAAATATCATATTAAAAATACTATTTAAATAAAAATTCAAATCAGTTTCAAACAACAATTAAATAAATTGTAATATTCTATATTTTAAAAATAAATTATTATTAAAAGTTAAAACAATTATGTAGATTGATCGTTGGGATTTGTTTCTTAACCTTACTACTTGACTCTTCAATTTTCAATATATATATTTTCGAAAAACTATTATATAAAATATTATTTAAATATAAAGTTTGATAAAATATTATCTCAATTAAATTTGAAAAAATCTCTTTGACACATATTTTAATATAACGGGTACTATTTTTCTAAAAAAATTTATAATAAAAGAATTTTATTATAAACTTTTTAAAAAATAACTCTGGGTGCGTTTATTTATAGGATTTTAATTTTAATATGTAAAATTTTGAATTGAAATAATTATTTAATTTGATATAAAAATAATGATATTTGTTTAATATATTATAAATTAGAATGATATTTAGCTATATAATATAATTAAGAATTGATAATCTTATTTTGAAAAAACGAAAATAAAAAATTACAAAATGTCAATGAGACCGATGAAGTATATTATTATGATTATTTTTTAAAAAGTGGGCTGATTTTTTTTTTTTTTTTTAAACAACACACTATAGTTTTAAAAATATTACTCTCTGTGTCCCCACATATTTTGGGCGGTAGATACGGCAATTTATATAAAATATAATTAGTAGATAATTAAGAAAAAGTGTATTAATTTAAATAATTATTATTTAATAAAAATAATTATAAATTAAGATTAAAATATATAAATAGTTTAATTAAAATTAAAAAATTATAAAATCTAAAATTTAAAATGTGACATAATTATATTTTAGAAAAAAAAAATGAACAAAAATAGAAATATAAGACAAATTATTTAGGACAATTATTATTATTTGATATATATATATTATTTTTGAAAACAATAGTGGGGCGAAATTCAAAATCGAAATCGAAAACACAAGAGAAGCGTTGCCCGGCTGATTGCCCCTTTTTCGAATTTTGCGGTTAGGGTTTTGGTGAGTGTGAGATTGAGATAGAGGGTTTTGCCTTTTCAAATTTTCTTCTGCAGATTCTCTTCTTCAGGATCGTGAATTATCCGTGCCCAATCTGGATCTGTGCGCTTCTCCGCATTGATTTACCGGCGGCTTGTTTTTCAATCGAGTTTTTCCACTGTTGCTGTTGTTACTACAGGGGATTTATGGTATCGAGATTCGGAGCGCGGGGGTTGTAAGTGGAGCCATTGGCTGAATTGGAGTGCTATTTGTGTTGTCCCCTGAATGCGCGGTGAAAATGGAGGCCATACTTACAGAATGTGTGCGGAACAGCCTGGAGCACCTTCTGTATCGAAATGCCATTTTCATGTGCGAGCGCCTCTGCGCTGAGTTCCCTTCCGAGGTGAGAAATTATTATTATTGGATAATTGGCTGCCTGCGAATCAGAGTTTTATAGTGAATCTGAAGTTACTGCACGTTTTGTTTTTTACTTGAGTAATTATGATCTTCGATTAATTATACTGAGTGTAACCGTATGGAGAGCTGGTTTCTGATTCTGATAGGGTTGAGTAATTGAATATATATATATATATGTATGTATATATGCTTAGGCTTTTGGAACTAGGTTGCTCAAATTAACTGGTTTAATTGCAGTGGAAGATGTTCCATAGAAAATCGATGGAGGGTATTATTATGTGATTTTACTACTGGTCGATACCTTTTAATATTGGTAGTAACTTGGTGTTTTTGGTATCGGTTTATGATACTCTTCAAGTTTAATAACCTGTAATGCACTTGGTAAAAAGGCTTGGCTGTTAAATTTGTTTCCAGTGCCTGCCATTGGATGAGAATCAACAGAGTACAATTCCTTATTTGATTTGTTCCAGAGAAAATTTCTTATCATGTGATCTTTATTCAAATTACCACACTTTGCTTGTTTTGCCGTTTATTTGTTTTATACTACACTGACAAAACTGCCTCTGGATCTATTATAGAAATCTTTACTGCTTGAAAAATGCTTTGTAGGTTTTCACATTTAAATGGATTTTTAAGCTTTGTTTGATATTGATTAGGGCCGTTACTAAAATATCAACCCCTCCCCCCCCTCTCCCCCTCTCAAAAAAAAAAAGACCCTTTCATGAATCATCATATTAGTAATACTTAGATTAGATTTAAAGAAAAAAAAATTGATTCTATCACGTTCAATGCAGAAAAATTTGCAGCTGCTCGCCAGCTGTTACTTGCGAAACAACCAGGCTCACTGCGCTTATTACATTTTAAAAGGTACAAGCCGAAATATATCCTCTTGAAGTCTATGTCATCTAACCAATTTCTTCATAACTTGTGGGTTTCTGTATATACCATTTTACCTTTGTTCAGGAGGTGCCTTGTTTTCTTATTTGTATGCATTGTCTATGGTTTGAAGGAAAACAAGCAGCCCCATGCCGCTACTTGTTTGCACTGTCTTGCTTTCAAATGGATCTATTGAATGAAGCAGAAGCAGCATTATCTTCTACTGACGTAAGCTTATATTATAAAATAAGCATGTCATTTTTTTTTCAAGTAATGGAGATCATATTGTTGCTCTATGCCCACAATAGTTATAGCATGTCTTTCGCCTACAAGTTTAGTTTCCCCAAAATCATCCTTCAAACAGAAAACTCACCACTTATCATTTTGTTGCAGGTTCCAAATGGTGCTGCTGGGCATTACCTTCTTGGCCTTGTATACAGGTATTTTTCTTTTTTATATAAAATCCAATGCTCAAGTTTACCTGAATGGTTCTCTGGTTTGCCCTCCAATTGCATTAATCAACATACTTCTTGTGGGTTGCGTTTTCTTTTAACGGGTTATCATGATACACTAGTAAATTGCTAAATACGATAATTTTATAACCCTAGGATATGACTTCTACCCATGTTTCTAGCTATTTACATATACAATATTGCATATTTTGGTGCTAATTATCAAAAGTAACTTTCTTAAAAACATATCACATCAAATATCTACTTCCTATTACAAAACATTACATTAAATACTCAACTTATTACAATTTCTGAAATTTTCCAAACCTCCAAACTCCAGAGAAACCTTTATCTAAACGGAGCCGATTCACTGTCTGTTGCAACAGCGCACTAGCAGCACTGATTGAGAAACACTATTTGTGGACAAATTTGAATTCTATATTTCTATCCAAAACTGTCATTTTGGTTATCACTTGTGAATTGTGATATCTTTTATATTTATATTTTCAAGAAATGATCGCCAATGATATCTCAAGTAACCTAGTTGAATGATCCTATCATTCGAGTTTGTGTGTTTTCAAAATGTTAACTCATCTCATTATGACAATATTTATATTCAGGTATACAGATAGAAGGCAAAGAGCTATCAATCACTTCAATCAAGCATTATCACTGGATCCATTACTTTGGGCTGCTTATGAGGAACTCTGTATATTAGGTATAGGTGAAAAGTAATTAGTTTCCATTGACATTTACCTCATACATAGCATGGCAGCTTTTGGCTATTGTGGATAAACTAAGGGCTTTACTTTGCATGTATTATCTGGTTTAGATGATCATCTAGTATGTCGTGTACGGTAGGATTTCATGGTCTCCATTTAAGAATGAAAAATGGGGAGTTGCAGCTGAGATGCTCATCATTTATATACATTTTTTATAAACATATTTGTTTTGTTAGGTGTTTGAGAATAGTAAATATTTGAAATGAAATAGGGTTTTAATATGATATACATAGGTGTTTTATATGATGTTTTAAATAAAAAAAATTATTTTTGATAATATTTTAAATAAAAAGTAAGTATTTGATTTGATGGTTTGAAAGTTAAAAAGAAAAAAGAAAAAGTGATGAATAGTGCGAGGCAACAAACAGAGCAATGGTTTATTGGTTCCTGTTTAACCATATCCTCCTTTCATTGTGAATTAATTTGCAATCTTACTTTAGTGGTGATGTTTGGTTTCATATTTTTTATTGCTATTTTATTGTTGTCCTTTCCAAAATCATTTAACAAAATAATTGGTGTAAATTCAGGTGCTGCTGAAGAAGCTTCTTCGGTATTTGATAAAGGAGCTTCTCTCTGCATTCAGAAGCAATATCTAAATCATGGCTCAGGCACCCAGAGTCTGCAGACACCAAATGAGGATCATGATGGTGCTTCAAGCAGAACTTTAGGGTCAGAAGATATTAGTCCTAGGAAATTAAAACAAATGCATGGAAATAATCTACGAGACATATCTGGAAACTATCATGGAACAACAAATCAGCCAGTGACTGGTGTTCCAATTGGCTTGCCATTTTATAGCACTCCTTCCCCAGTGACTACACAAGCACAGGTATTATTATATACAGTTTCCTCACTATTGTATGTTGCAGCTGTCCATAAGTAATGGTTTCATAAGCACCATCCTAGCTAATATAACTGTGACCTAAGCTATTCATGTTGTTTTAAAATAAACATTCTGCTTGTAGATGACTTATTCATTTACAAACTTCACTTGTTGAAGGCTTCTCCTGGAGGTTGTATTGTTTGCTCTGTTACTCCCTTTCTGCCTGATTTTTTCAGTGTAAAAGCTTAAGTTCTTTATTGTGTGCGTTTTTTTTTTAATTTGCATCGTGAGATGGTAATGCTCAGTTATGACTTGATTGTATACCTTTACCCTATTTACCCTGTGATGAGGATTCTACAGTTAATCCTCTTGCTCAAATATATCTATCTTGGGTATTTTGTGTAGTTCCCTTAGTGCCTGCACCTTTAAAGTCTGTTGATTGTGCATAATGGTGGTGGTCTTATTTACATGGCACTTGTTTGTTTATTTTAGCGGGGGGAATTTTTTTAGTTCTGCAATTTGAGAATCGTGTGTCACTTTACTGCTTAATTGGTTTGATTGGAAAATTTAGAAAAATATATTGTGGGACAGATGTGGTTTTCTTCTTTTGGCTCTAATGCTAGGTTGTGCTGTTCTTAATTTCCTTTATATTATTATTATTTTTTTGTAGTTGTCTGGAGTTGCTCCACCTCCTTTATGTCGAAATGTGCAACCAAATGGTCCAAACTTGAGAACATATGGAGCTGATAGCACCCCACGAGCAACTGTGAACTCAAACATTGCAGGACCCAGAAGAAAGTTTGTTGATGAGGGAAAACTAAGAAAGGTTAGATTACACACTGTTTCTCTGCATATCTCTGCCACAGTCAGATGTTCTTTTACAATGCTTTACGTTTCCCCTGAACTCTAAACCATTGTAAAGGTATTCTTCCACTGCTATCTGCAACAGTTACTTTCTCTGTTTTTTCAACCTTATGAAATTGCCTTATTCTCCTATTATTTTTTTTTGGTTATATTTTTGTTCACTGAGTGTTGTTAATACATTCACATTTAGGTATCTGAGAGGCTATTTTCTGATTCTGGCCAGAGACGAAGCACACGACTTGCGGGTGAATCAGTCAATACAAACTCCAGTACATCCATAGTTTCTGGTAATGGAACGAACCCATCTTCTAAATATGTAGGGGGTCCTAAATCAAGCTCTGTCACTACACGCTCTTTGACAATCCGGAAAGGTCAGTCCTGGGCAAGCGACGCTACATATGAAGGTGCTTAATTTTTTATTTTTATTATTATTATTATTATTTTCCATGTCTTTTATATCAAATCAGTCAATTTAATATTTGAACTTTGAATCAATCACTTGTCTTCTAGGGATGATGATGTGAAGGTCAAAGCTTACCATTATGTGATATGAATTGGATGGTGTGCAAAAATTAATTGCCCAACTCAGTGTTTTCAGCTCTCTTGTGTTCACCAAATTCTGAAACCTCACTTAAGATAATCACTGGTGTGTTTTTCATATTTCATGGTGGTTAGTTAAGAAGCTAGATTAATCTCAGATAATTTTCATTAATTCATATGTTAAGAAAATTAAATTTTAGTTCCAAGTGTCAAATAATCACAAACTAAGCTTGATGAGTGTGGGCTGAACAAAATTAGTTGTTATTGTAGATGCTGAATTTTGAAGTTGACTTTATTGGATATAATCGATGTATTTTGCATATTGGCATGGGGGATTTCACTCCACTTGATGATTTGATGTCTTAGACACTGAAATTACCTTAGTAACATAGTTGATGTGGCAGCCACATTATATTGTTCATCAGTGAATTCATGTAGGAAAGAAGATGACTAAATAACAAAGAGATGCTCTATCTTGACCTTATTTTGATGTCAATCTGACTAATAGAGAAATTATTGCTCTTTCAGGTGCTCGTCACGACATGGATGATGAGTCTAGATTAAATGCCACCACGTCAAGCTCATCCCCACATGGTGATAATAGAGCTGGACCAGAAGGAGATGCCAGGTCCTCAGTTGCAGCTGTTCCATGTAACTCAAAAGTCATAGATGGTGCTTCGGATATATTAGCTCTATTAAGGCTTCTTGGTGAAGGTTTCAGACTTTCCTGTCTTTGTAGATGTCAGGTTGTAGTTCTATTTCTTGGAGGAAAGTAATCGGGGGTTCATATTCTTAACATTTAGTTTACCAATCTGCTTGTGCTGCGGCAGGATGCACTGGATACCTATACCAAACTTCCACCAAAACACTATAACACTGGATGGGTGCTTTCTCAGGTAGAATGTTTGTTAATAACTCCTGTGAATATTTGAATAGATTTTTCATCCTTCTTGTCGCCTGCCTTATTTTACTTATCTACCTATTTTACTGTCAAAGTGATGTAAGAAGGCACTTTATCTACCATTGTGGCAATTCATAACTTAGATTTCTTTCAGAAATCATTTATGATAAATTTTGTGCAATATATATATATATATACATATAATTTCTCTGTATCCATTTGTAGCTGTTCTTGGTCAAGTCGTAAACTAGTGTAAATAAGTTTTTTTTGTTTATTTTCTTCCGTTAAATATGACCATTTAGCATCATATGGGTTTTCTCTGGAAGGCAGGTTGGGAAAGCATACTTTGAACTGGTTGATTATCTTGAAGCTGATCATGCCTTCACGCGTGCTCGTCATTTCACTCCATACAGTGTGGAAGGAATGGATATATACTCTACAGTTTTATATGTGAGTCTATTTTGATAAATCTTGAATGCTTCATTCATTGTTTACACGCCTCATTATGTATCACGACACCTGGTCTTCTCTTTGTCCATTTTAAAACTTGCTTTGCATTCATATCACATGCCTGCTTATTTGTTTCTGCATTGCTTCTAATTTCGTGGTCTCGATGTGCCATCTAAGTAACTTTACCTTTGTCTTTTAGCATTTGAAGGAAGACATGAAGTTGAGTTACTTGGCTCAGGAGCTGATATATACGGATCGTTTAGCTCCTCAAACATGGTACCTTTTATCTGAACTTTTAATCCTAATTTCATCTATAAATAGTAATTATGTGGATTTATTTACATTGGTGGGTTCGGTTTCACGCAAACTAACTTAAAATGTACGGGTAATAATCCTATTGTTTTGAACACCCAATGAATTTCAGGATAATTTAATATAGGGCGTGTTTACTTGTAAAATTTGGTTTTGTATTTTGGTTTTGAATAGTAAAATTTTGAATTGAAATAGTTGTTTGATGTGATATAAATATGTATTTATGTGATGTTCTGAATGTAAAATAAAATTTTAGTGTATTATAATAAATGAAAAGTGGGTGTTTAATTTGATGTTTTTGGAGGAAAAAAAGAATTGGAATAGTAAAGTCAGAATGAAAATTGTACAAGTAAACACACATTATGGTTGTGTTCTTTTGTGGGTTTTACAGCAGGTTTTTGCTATTCAGATTTTTTTTTCCTCCAAAAATATCGCATCAAACAATTACTTTTTCTTTTTTGTATCACATCAACTTCTATTTATATAACATCAAACATCTATTCAAATTCAACTTTTTACTATTCAAAAATCCAAACCCGAAAACTAAAATCCACAAACAAACACACCTACGTTTTTCCTTATTGATAAGTTTATGACTACTGTTATTACATATTCTTATTCTTATGTTAAATCTGTGTAATTTATTATCAAACTCAATAATTGTTGCATAAAAGGTAATCAAGTTTGTGTTAAAATAGATTAGTGGTGATTATCGAAAAGATGATTGTTAATTAAATTTAGTTTTATATGATAACTAGACTACGTTTACTTATAACATCAATTATGTTACCATCAGAATTAGAAATAAACACAGCTTTATGGTATAGGAAAATCGAAAATCATGGTTTTTATTAGTATCATTAAATTATGAGGTTTTCAAAGTACCTTGTTACAAATTTCATTATTCTAATCTTAGAAGATAACTTTATACATAAAAAAGTACGAAATTTGGTTGGATAGTTATTCCCACATTTAACTATCATAAGTATATATGCAATTAGGATATATAAACATGCCCGTAAACCGTTTTTCTTCAATTATGCGTCGAATGTTATATTGCAGGTGTGCGATGGGAAATTGCTACGGCTTACAGAAAGACCACGAAACTGCTCTAAAGAATTTCCAGCGAGCTGTGCAATTAAATTCAAGATTCGCATATGCTCACACCTTATGCGGTCATGAGTATGAACAAATTTTTTTTTTTCCCACCACCTGTGTATCCAACTAAATTCCAATTCTTGCCTTTTACCTGGAAATCTATATTTATCGACAGATACGTGGCCCTGGAGGATTTTGAAAACGGTATCAAGAGCTACCAGAGTGCACTCCGGATAGATCCAAGACACTATAATGCCTGGTATGGCCTCGGCATGATATATCTCCGGCAAGAAAAGTTCCAGTTCTCTGAGCATAATTTCCGGGTGGCTTTCCAAATCAATCCCTTTTCCTCTGTCATAATGTCGTATCTCGGAACTGCGCTGCATGAATTGAGGGTAAGCATTTAATTTTAACCGAGCTAACAACAGATCGGAAAAAATTCATTTCCGAGTTCATTAACGACGAGACATTCTTTTTAACCTCCCGACAGAGAAACAGCGAAGCTCTGGAGATGATGGATAGGGCTATTTTGGCCGACAGGAAGAACCCTTTCCCACTGTATCAAAAGGCGAACATCCTGGCGAGCATGGAAAATCTCGACGGCGCGCTGGCCGTGTTGGAGGAGCTGAAAGAGTCGGCGCCGCGGGAGAGCAGTATCTATGCGTTGATGGGCCGCATTTACAAGCGCAAAAATATGCACGGCAAGGCCATGCTCCACTTCGGGCAAGCTCTCGACCTGAAGCCGTCGGCAACTGATGTTGCGTCTATTAAGGTAATTTCCGTTAATTGGTACTTTTTCCGTCCGTCAAATTTATTCTCACTTATTTTTTTTTAGTTCGTCGGTTAAATTTATTCTATTATTAATTTTGACAAAGTTAACAAATTTACATTTAGGGTGTGTTTGTTTGGAGGTTTGGATTTTAAGGTAGAATTTGAATAGTAAAAAATTTGAATTGGAATAGTAATATGACCTAATATAAATAGGTATAATATAAAAAAATAAGTATTTAATTTAATATTTTTGGAGGAAAAATTAGATGAATAGTAGATTTGGGAAAAAATTCTCCAAACAAACACACCTTTAATTATTTTCCATTCAATACTTATTTATAATAAATACAACTAATTTTTGTTACATTCTATTTTTTCATTTACTTTAATTTTTAATTAAATTTTCAAAAATACTTTCAACTATCTATTATTTTTTCAATAAAATTCATATTTTTTAATTTTTGTGCCGGATACAAGTAGATTAATTTTTATGGACGGAGGGAGTATTTTATTAGTATGTATTGTGTTTGGATAGCGGAAAAAAAGAAGATTTTGTGTCTGTATTTCTTTTGGTTTTGTTGATCTCTAACAATTTTTCGCTCAGGCTGCTATCGAAAAGTTACATGTGCCCGATGAGCTAGACGACGAAGAGTGTTGAATTAAATTTTATAATAACATCGAACGATTGATCAAATTTGGTGAAGCTGCCTACGCCTGTGGCGGGCAGTTGGTTCCGCTCGGATTTGTCTGTGTCCCGGGCGGGCAAATGATCGGCATGTCGGTTGCTGTTGTTTGAGTTTTTGGGTTGCAGAGGACGAACAAATAATAAGAGATGAGATGACATGAAACGGAGCGTTGTAAGAAAGGTTAGAGAAGAATTAGAGATCATTCAACAAATCAAGAACTCATTGTCTGTATGTATATCTTCTTGATCTTTCGTCTAATTGGAATTATTATATCTTCACATAGAGAGATTCATGTAATCAAATCATGTATTTCTTTTTTTTACTCACTCTCATACATAGACTTGAATTTTAACTATGTTTTTTATTCATTATTATTATTATTATTATTATTATTATTATTATTATTATTATTTTTTATGACATAGAAATTTGCGGCTGCTATTCGAAAGTGCGCACTAGGTAAACTTTCAATTGAATCTAATATCTTGCAAATTTGGTCCGACAAGGTAAGCTACCCTTAGGGTGTGTTTGTTTGGGGGTTTGGATTTTGAGTTGGGATTTGAATAGTAAAAATTTTGAATTTGAATAGTTGTATGATGTGATATAAATAGGGTTTGATGTGATGTTTTGAATGTAAAATTGATTTTTAGTATAATATAAAAAATAAAAAATAGGTGTTTGATTTGATGTTTTTGGGGGGAAAAAATTGGATGAATAGTAGAAATCTTATTAAATCCCCCAAACAAACACATAAGTAAATTATGAACCCGTGACTTCACGATCTTTCTCTTATTTAAATTTAAAATGTTAGCAAAGTATGTGAAATGGACGGAGTAAAAAATTTATTGCATTTAGCTTTGAAGTTCTTAAAATTTTGGAAATAATCTAACATTACTATTTGATATTTAGTTTTGAAGTTCTGAAACATTTGGAAATAATAAAACATTACTACTCTTTCTGTTCCATATCTGTTCCATATCTATTTGCACAAAATTTTAAAAATATTACTATTATATTGAGATACAGTAAAAATAAAACTAAAAATAAATATAATAATATTTATATAATATATTGTAAATTAAAAATATATTTATAATGTTAAATAGATAATATAATTATTTTTTTTAAAAAAAATACTTAAGACCAAAATAGAAAAATTGATAAATTATTAAAGTATGGAAAGAGTATTTGATATGATATTTGTGTAAAAACTTGATATCGTATTTCTTTAAAATTGGGATAGTGCCAAACAGTACAAAGTGCTTGTCTAAACAAAGCATTAGTCTTGGAACTACAGGTGTTTTCAAATTACAGTCCAACCATCTTTTAACTTCAAACTTTCTCCATCTCTTAGGCCTAAGCAAGCAGGCAGCTCTATTAGATGTCGACGACCGCGACGGCAACGGCGAGCGACAAAAGTACAATGAATAACCAAATAACGTCTATAAGGTTGTCGAAAAATCTCAGCTGATCTCACTTGCTTTCAGCCGTAGCCGTAGCCGTAGCCGATGGAAGATAGACACCCTCGGCAGCCAGCCAAATATTATCCGCTTGCTTCTTCCGGACACCACAAACCTGTAGGAATCAGACAATAGTCGATAGTCACCGAGCAACTCTTACCTACCCATACCCAAATATCTCGGCATTTTGGCTCTTACCTCCTGCTGGCCCCCGGCGATACGGTTGTATTTCTTGTCATGACTGTGAAGGTACCCTCCTGTGTCTACATGCTGAAGCCGGACTCGTTGATCTTGTCTCCACGTCTTTCCACTCCCCTCGATCTCGAGTCTAAGAGTACAACAACGATTATCAATCCGTGTGCGTGTCTGTTTGTGCTTTCGATCTTACTTTCGTACTATATGCAATGAGAATGATTACTGTACTGATTTGAAAAAAATCAACACTATGCATATTTGCGCCACTCAACACTTAAAATCATACTCCCTCCATTCGGCTCTAAGGATCTCATTTACGTTTTGCATCATTGTACTTAACATTAAAAATATCCTTATATTCGTATAATTTTTTGCACAAATGTCATTATAATAGTATTGTAAGACACTAATAGAAGTATTTTTGTCATTTTCCTTTGATTTGTGCTACGTTTTGATATAATAATTAATATTCAAATATCTAACATGCAAAAAGTAAATGAGATTCTTAGAGCTACCGTTATGTCGTATATTGTCTGTCAGCACAGTAATTGCCGTCATATGTAATCTCTAATGAAATATTTTGTCCTAAAAATCATTTATATCTCTATTACCTAACTTTCATCTAATCTATCATATCAAAAGCCTATTTTTTGTTCAGATGCTCGAACTAACAACAAACACACAACACAGAGATAGCTTCCAAATGATAAGATGATAAGAGTAATTTGCGATTTAAGGTAATCTCACCTCCAATAATCCCCCGTATCAGACTGCCCGTCATTGCCGAAGCAGCTCACCTGCATTCGAGTTTAATTACTTACTAAGCTTTGCAATTGAATTGACGCAAAACCAAGCAAGATGTAAAACCCACGTAGAAATTAAACACGTGTGGAAGTGACTACATCTCCAAAAGTAAGTTACATCCCATGCCAAGCAATAAACCATTTGCAAAAGGGAAATGAGAAGACGGGTGGCCTAAACACAAGTATACCGCCTGCGAAAGGTATCTAGTGTATGTCTACCACAACTATAGGGAAATGAGAAGACGGGTGGCCTAAACATGCTTAGAACTCGATTCATTACACTAACTGATAAATCTCTTTCTGCAAATGGACCGACTTTAGTCACTTGTTTCTTCAATCTTAGCCTTTGTTCTTTTTGCGTTTATTTCAGTTTTTTACTATGCAGGTTTGCCGTTCCAAATAACACATAACTCCTTTTTCATACAAAACATTATATTTAATCACTACTTCACCTAATGAACAACAAAAACAAAAACTTACAAAATAATAATAATAATAATATTCGCCAAAAAACATCATTTTCAACTCATACAAAACATCACATATACCCATTTTTTCCCACTCGAATAAATCACATATCTAAAAAATCCAACACAGCAGATAAAAATTTCAGGCAACGGAAAGAGATGTCTCCCGATAAAATAAATGCATACAAACCTCCAAATTTCCGGATATCGGGGATGCGTGTAAGTGGCTGTGCAACCACTTCCTAGTTCTCATATGCTGCAGCCTAATGAGCGTGCCACTTTTGATCGTATCTCCTTGTTTTTCAGATGAGTCTTGTGTAGGCCTCACAATCTACGAATTTTATCAACGACTCCAATCAACCGTCTAACTACAGCCAAACAAAACACCAAGTGGGCAAGACATGTAAAGATACCCAGTAGCTGTTAGAGTCATCAACATTCGGAAAACCAGTAACCGACTGCTGCCCACTGCCGGAGCCGTAAGGAACATCATGTGAATGAAGCCGGAACTTTGTCCTCTCATGCATTAGCTTGATCACCGAACCATATGTAACCTGCCAAAGATTCAAGAACAGATTCATTCTGCAACTAAATCTTGAAAATCTAGAGGTTTTCGATCGGAAATATGAAACTTTGTCTAACAAATTCTTGGCAATTGCAATTTGCAAGAGCTAAACTATCCAAATGAGCAATCCTCATCCTCTAAAAATGCAATTTCATGTTTTTGTTCATATTATGCACCACTCAATTGAACCAATCCCTAAAATTTCTTTTACTTCCTATTGACATATAGGCAAAGCCTAAATATTAATTTGGGGACAAAATTAGGGTTAGGGTTTCATGGATCGCTTGAAGATCCATAATCAGTTCCGAAGAATCAATTCACATTCAGGAATGAACGAATCGAATGAAATGAAGGTACACAAGAAATGAATCAAATCACACCACAAATTCCTCTCACCAAACGCTAACATAGAGCACTAATTCAAAGCAAATTAATGATACAATCGAAATACGCCTCAGAATCAGCGACACGAATGAGTACTTGCCTGAACGCCTTCGGAGGCGGCGGAAACAGGAGCCGAAGCGTAATCGGCGATAACTGTAATCACCGTCAAAACCGTGAAGCCGAAAACCGAAATCGCCATAACAGGTAACAGAGGACCGCGTCCAGACCGAAATTAGAGCTCACTTCACCTTTCTCGATCTCCGGCGGCGGCGGCTGCGGCGACGGTGCAGATGCCGAAGTGAAGGAGAAGGTCAAGGCGGAAGCGATAGACGGAGAAAAAACTAAACGCTGTATTTATTTGATATTTTCGGAACTTACAGGGACCGATTTGCAAACACCAAATAAATCAGGGTAAACTAGAAATTTCATATTTTTTAAAATTATAAATATATAAAATACTCTATATTTTATTTATTAGCTGTTTCTTCGAAGAGTCTAAGAGATTTCTATTATTTAAATAATTTTTTTTTTCTAAAAATATCAAATTAAATATTTTCTTTTACGAAATTTTATATATATTAGTATCATATTAATACATTGTAAAAATAAAGTGAAAATGACTAAAATAATCTTATTAGTATTGTATGGTATAAATGTAATGATATTTGTGTAATAGTAGAGTTGATAAATAAATAAATAAATAAATTGTTATTGGACGAAAAAAAATAAAAAAATTGATAAATTGTTAATGGACGAATGAAATATTATACTTTAAAAAAAATAAAATTTACATTCAAAACGATACATTAATTTTAATTTATTTCACATTATATCACTATTTAATTGAAATTTTTCAATTTTCAAATTTCAATCTACAGTTCAAACCCCCAAACAAACACACCTAGGTCTAAAACATCTTCCCCGTCAAAATGTTGATTATATTCCACTATTAAAAGTACAATAAAAATAATTTTGTTTCGATTTTATTGTATAAAAATAATACTACTTTCATACCAGATACGGTGTCTGCTGTACTGTAGATACGGTATTTTAGAAGGGGTGTAATTAGTAGATAATTAAGAATGTATTAGTGAAAATAATTATTTTATAATATAAATAATTATAAATTAAAATTAAGATAACTAATTAGTTTAATTAAAATTTTCAAAAAATAAAATTAAAAAGTTTAAAATAAGATTAAAGTGTATAATCATTTTTTTTAAAAAAAAAGTGACATGGTACGTGGGACGGACAGAAACGGCAATATGGACATGATATATGGGACAGAGGGAGTAATATAATGATAAAATATAAATAATTGTAAAAGTAAAATAAAATATTTTTAAGTAATTATTTTTCATAATTCAAAGTAAAAATACGCACACTTTGTAAATCGATAAAATAATACTATAAAATATTTTAAATATTATATTATATTATTAAAATTATTCAGTTTTTATAAATAAATAATAGTAGTATATTATATTTTGTAAATAATATTTATAAAAAACTGTGACCCCAAAAATTAATTTATAAACATATGACAAATTTACCCAACAAATCATCTCCAGGAGCTAAGATAATTTTGTTTTAGCCCTTAAATTTGTACTAATTATAACATCAGGTACATAAAAAATTTCGTTCCCCAAACCCCATGAAAAGGGGATAACCAAATTGAAGTGCAGCCATTGATGGCGCTTCAATCCTTCACCCTCAAACTCTCTCCATTTTTCATTCTCCGGTCGCTCGCCGGAGCTCCAAATGCTTCGAAACTCCACTTCCAATACCGCCGCCTGCCGCGGTTCCCGGCGAGGGCGTTTAATTCAACGGCCGGCGCCGCCGCGCTGGAGCCGGCCACCGCCACTCCTGATGAAAGCAAAGGTAATCGATTTATAAATTGTAGTATTCCGAAGTTCGCGGTTTCTGTAATCGATTTTTTAGGTTGAATTTTTGGGGATTTGGGTGATTATGTAGCTGTGAAGCCGCTTCAATGGAAAGCAGCCATAGATTTCAAGTGGATTAGGGATAACACGGAAGCGGTTGCGGCGAACATCAAGAGCCGCAACTCGAATGCTAACCTCGACGTTGTTCTTCAGCTTTATGAGAAATTGTTGAATCTTCAGAAGGTCAGGCTTCCTTACCTTCTACCTTATTGATTAATGGCGTATCTGAGGCGTTGATATCTGCAATTTTCTGATGAAAATTAGAGATGCATTTGTAATGATTCATAGCCATTGATGAATTGATCATTGTCATCTTGAGATGTTGATGATTCAGGGAGTATACTTTGAATCAAATTCCTTCCTTCCAATGGTTGATTGCATCTCTTAAGGAGCTAACTAACTGTAGAAATTTCAGAGAATCGAATTTTAATTGTGTTAGCTCGTATTCGATTGTGTTGGATTTTGTTTATCCTTGCTTGGTTTGCCTAGTTTCATTCGATTATCTTAACTCGATTGCATCTCCTAAGGAAGCTATCTAATTGTAGAAGTTTTTGAATTCATCTTTTTACATTAACAAATTGAATGTTTATCATGTTTGCACGTATTCATAATGTGTTGGATATGCTCTATCCTTGCTTGTTTTGCCTAGTTTCATTCAATAATTTGAACTCATTAGCAGGAGGTAGACAGGCTTCGTGCCGAGAGAAATGTAGTTGCAAACAAGATGAAGGCGAAGTTGGAACCTACCGAGCGTCAGAAACTGATCGAAGAAGGTTTGTTAATGCCTGTGGCGCGCTTGTCTTTTAAAATGAAGTTCCGTTTCACCTTTTTCTGCGACATGTTGTTTATCTAAGAGTGTCGATTCAGGAAAGAATTTGAAGGACGGGCTTGTTAATCTTGAAGAAGATCTGCTGAAACTAACCGATGAACTTCAAAAGGAAGCGCAGTCAGTGCCAAATATGACTCATCCCGACGTTCCAATAGGAGGAGAAGATTGCTCGGCAGTGAAAAAACTGGTAGTCTTTTCTAGTTTCGATGGGAATGGCGATGAATATTCGAAATCATCTTGCTTCGCTCTTCTAGCTTGTATTAATTGTTTTTCTTCCGGAATTTACAGGTTGGCGAGCGCCGTGAATTTAGCTTCACCATTAAAGATCACATGCAGCTCGGAAAAGATTTGGATTTGTTCGATTTCGATGCTGCTTCCGAGGTACATTCATAACCAAAGTATGCTGGATTGTGGCGACAAATATTAGAAATCGTTTCATCTGATTAGATTGATGTTTAATTATACGTTTTCGATCAATGTAATCGAAACCTGAGGCAATTTGGGAAATTTTCTAATTGAATAAGATCGCCATTCGATAATACTGATGCTTTCTTACATGCTGTTAATATCTGATATATTTTCCGGCAGGTGAGCGGTTCGAAATTCTACTACCTGAAGAACGAAGCCGTGTTATTGGAGATGGCACTTATCAACTGGGCGGTGTCGGAAGCCATGAAAAGGGGCTATACACCTCTTACGACGCCGGAACTCGTTCGATCGTCGGTGGTTGAAAAATGCGGCTTCCAGCCGCGCGGCACCAACACACAGGTCTATTCAATCGACGGCACGGATCAGTGCCTGATCGGTACAGCCGAGATTCCGGTTGGTGGAATCCACATGGACTCGATTCTCCCTGAAGCGTCGCTACCTCTGAAATACGTTGCCGTCTCCCATTGCTTTCGAACTGAAGCCGGGGCTGCCGGCACTGCGACTCGGTAAATCACGATCCCAAAAATTTCAGCGTTATTCGTCGTCGATATTGATAGGCGGCGATGGTTTCCGCAGGGGGCTTTATCGCGTCCACCAGTTTAGCAAAGTCGAGATGTTCGTCTTGTGCCATCCCGACGACAGCGATTCGTTCCACGGAGAACTTATCGGAATCGAAGAACAGCTCTTCTCGTCGTTGGGGCTTCATTTTAAGTACGTCGACAAAGATTCGATTTTTTTTCTTCTTCTCCCTTCGTTGGGTTATCTTGATTTTTTTCCACAGAATAATGGACATGGCGACGGAGGATCTCGGCGCGCCGGCCTACCGGAAATTTGACGTCGAGGCATGGATGCCGGGTCTGGGTCGATACGGCGAGGTACGTCACGTGCATGCATGTGCATGCAAAGTCTCCGTTTTTCTGATCCTGTTCGATTTTTATCGGCAGATATCGAGTGCTTCGAATTGCACGGACTACCAAAGCCGGAGGCTGGGGATTCGGTTTCGGCCGGAATCGGGCGGCGGGAAGAAGGGGAAGGGGAGCTCCGGCGGTGGTGCCGCCACTCGGTTCGTTCATACGCTGAACGCGACTGCGTGTGCGGTGCCAAGGATGATGGTGGCGCTGCTGGAGAACTACCAGGAAGAAGATGGGTCTGTTGTTATACCTCAGGTATTGAGGCCTTTCATGGCTGGCCTTCATCTCATTTCCCCTAAATCCAAACCCTAATTTTAATTTTTTTCGATTTTATTTATTTTAAATTTTGTTTTCTATGTTTGATTCGATGATTTTTGGTACTGTGTTATATATAAGTCGCAGTTTTCATTGAAATTTCTAAAAGAAAATTTGAAGTTGAATTATGTAGTGTTTTAAGTGAAAGTGTTTTTTTTAAAAAAAAAATTAGGTATGAAAATTGTATTAATAATATAAAAAAATATTATAAATATTATTTTATTTTAAATTGTTGAATTTTTTTTGTAAGAATACAGAATATATATTGTATACCATATGAAAATATATATGTATTTTTTTAAATATTCGTTTTGTATTGTTACAACTAAAGAATATTGATGAACAAGTTCATTTTGTGTTAACGTAAAATTTGTACGGAATACCTATTTTGTCTAAAATTGATATTCGATTCTAAATAAAGACCTAAATTATCTAAGTTGTATACAAATAAAAAATATAAAAATAAATAATTAATAAAAAACACAATAAATAAAACACATATTTTATGCATTTTTATTAAAATACAAAGAAGTGATATACTCCCTCTGTCCCAGATACTATGTCCACGTTGACGTTTTTGTCCACGTACGATGTCACTTTCCTTTTTTGGAAAATGATTACACACTTTAATCTCATTTTTAATTTTTTAATTTTTTTTTTAAAAATTTTAATTACACTAATTAGTTATTTTAATCTTAATTTATAATTATTTATATTATAGGATAATTATTTTTACTAATACATTTTTAATTATCTACTAATTACATTCCTCCTAAGATACCGTGTCTACAATGTAGCAGACACGGTAATAGGACGGAAGGAGTATAATTTATTATTTATTTTATTATTATTGTTTTTCCATAACGAAGCCGCCAGGGGTAGTATCTAGTATGCTAATGGCCTTAGATTCGTAATGATAATATATTATATGACTCTGATTAGTGTGCGATAATCAATATTGTCTTAACATAATATTTATTTTAACAAAAATATATATAATTAAATATAATACAAATATATTCTGTAAATTGATAGTACATAGTAACAATTCATACCATACATAGTAATTTAATTAAAATTATATATTATTGATATAGTAATTAATTATAACACCCTAATAAGCATCCCAATCGTATTTCCATATTATTATATATTTACTATTGAGCAGTTGGACTACAAATGGAATATAATATAAAAATAAATAAATAATAATAATATTTTGTATATGGTTAATTTAATAATGCATAATAATTGTCATTATTTTATTTGACGGCTACGGTTTAATTTTAGTGATTATTAAAAGTAATTATTTATTTTCCTAAGATTGCAATCTAAAACCCATTACAATAAATATAAAATTCAATTTTGTCACAACTGTAGACGTGTTATGGACTATGTCACATCAAAATTATTTTTTATTTTGTTTTATAATTTTATATTATTGCAATCTTCCTTGTGGCTTCGCAATTTGATTGCTTGATTTTTACAGACCAATAATTTGATTCTGAACCTATTTTTTTAATCTCAATTTTTTATATAAATCGAATTTTTTTACCTCCATGCTAATCAATATTTTTTAATATTCATTTAGTCGTTTAGATCTGTGTCAAATATTGTCACACATTTTAATAAAAATAGTTATTTTTTTCATTCAGATAGAAGTATTCATTTAGAAATTTTTAGTAAATTGAGAATACTAATATTATGTTATTGGTTAATAAAAGTATATAAAATGATTTTAATATTTTCGTCATTTATATTCTGTATATGTAATGATATAATTATTATTTTAAAAAATAAATATTTTGATATTAGTGTATTATTTTTACTATAATAAAAATATATAATAGAGTATATTATTGAATAAGTCGTACAAAAATTAAAAAAAAAAATAGTGGAGAGGGATTAAGTACTTTTGTCTTTTATAATAAAAAATATTTATATCAATTTTTTGTTGTCCATTAAATTTATATGTAGTTTATTTATATTCACTCCATCAAGTTAGAAAATATATATATTTTTATTTTGAGACGTTCAATTATAAAGTAAACATTTCATTAAATACTTCATTTTTTTTTTCTATAAATACTTTTACTTTACATCACATTATTACTTTTACACAAAAAAATAAGGGGCAAAAATGTCATTACACTGTATTTAACTACTCACTATAATTAAAATATTATTATTTTTTAAACACTACGTCAAAAGTAAATATTTACTTTGTGTGTGGACGGAGGGAGTATTAAATATAAGTTTTATCTACTAATAATTTTATTATTTTTATTTTTCCAGATTGTACTTGTTGTAGCACAGTAATTGTAAAGTCTGTTGTATTGTTTACCTCACTACGTGAAGTACTAACACTGTTTTACTTTATCGACAGTCGCATTTTGAACTAGTAAATTATAATCGCGTGTTAAGTACTAACGAATATGATTTTTATGCAATATTTTTTTAATAGCGAATAAGTAATACTTCCTCCATCCCATAACTAGATATCTATTTGTTTTTTATACGTAATTTTAGAAATATTAGTATTATATTGAGATGTAATATGAATAAAGTAGAAATGACTAAAATAACCTTATTAGTATATGTGATATAAAGGTAATGACATTTGTGTAATATATTGTAAGTTATAAAGATATTTGTAATGATAGGCAAATAGTTCAGTTACTAAAAAATGAAATGGATATATTGTTATGGAACGGACTAAAATAGAAAAATGTATACTTTGTTATTGGACGAAGGGAGTATTAAATTTTAGGATTATAAGGAGTTTTCAACAAATTTTAAAAATCACACAAAAAAATTATGCTATTCCACCTTTAATATATTGTCTTTTTTTTTTTAATACTAGGAATTGAAAAACATATCATAAATTTGCATTGGGTGAACACTTTACATTATGAAATTTTTATTAATATTAATTAATATCTATTGAATTTTTATTAATATTAATTAGAAAAAAAATTAATTATTTAATATGATATTTTATAAGAAAAATATTAATATAATATTTTAAAATTAATAATCCACAAAATAATAAAAAAATTAATTATGTAATAAATGTTTTTAAATTTAAAATCTTTTACAAATGTCTAATTTATTTATTACAGTATATTATATTGCATATAAAAAAATTACATATTTTTTAGTTAAAAAATAAATAAAATGAATTCAGTAGGTGTGTTTGTTTGGGAGATTTTCCATCAAATATTCTATTCATTCAATTTTTTTTCAAAAATATCAAATCAAACACCATTTTTTATTTTTTATAATATATAAAAAAATCAATTTTACATTCAAAATATCGTATCAACACCTATTTATATCAAATCATACAACTATTCAAATTCAAAATTTTTACTATTCAAATGTCAACTCAAAATCCAAACCCTCAAACAAACACACCTCGTTGGAAGACGGGGCAGAGTAAAAAAATATTACTCCCTCCGTCTCAGATACCATGTCCACGTTGCCGTTTCTGTCCGTCCCACATACCATGTCACTTTCCTTTTTTGGAAAATGATTATACACTTTAATCTCATTTTAAATTTTTAAATTTTATTTTTTTGTAATTTTAATTAAACTAATTAGTTATTTTAATCTTAATTTATAATTATTTATATTATAAAATAATTATTTTCACTAATACATTCTTAATTATCTACTAATTATACCCCTCCTAAAATACCGTGTCTACGGTATAGCAGACACGGTATCTGGGACGGAGGAAGTATTTTTTAACAAAATATTAGATCAAACTACTATTGAATCAAAATTTAAATAAAAAATTAAATTTTAACTAAAATCAAATAATTCCTAGTTTGTCTAGGGTCTTTTAATGCAACCAAATATAAATAAATATATCTATAACTTTCAATGTTATATTTTTAAATAATACTACTATTATAATATAAAATATATTATAAAGTTTATATTTTTTTTTAAAAAAAAGGCCTTTTAATCAACAATTAAGTGAATGCTTCCCAAACAAAGTTGTTACATACGATGATTAGCTTTGTCCCACAAAGCACAATTATTTTTATTTTAATAGTATTTTCTTCATTTCTAGCCGTACAAATTAAAATTCAATAAATATATGTCTATATATATATATATATATATATATATAAAGAATTTAAAAAGCTACTTTTGATTAATTATCACTATGATTATTTCACAAAGGCTTACTTTTTAAATTAATACTCTCCCATTTCAAATATATATTCATTTTTTTTTAAATTCTCATTGAAAAATATTTTCGTTTTTTTTTAAGTAAAAATTATTATATTTTTATATTTTTTTACTATAAAAAAAAGTAACAATTATTACTCATTTTTATTAAGATATGTGTCTGGTCAAATGAACACACATTTGCATGACGGAGGGAGTAATAAACAAATAAATAAATAAAATCCTATTTAAATAATCACAATTTTGAATTTTGTATTAAGCCTCACTAATTAAAATTTTGAAATATGTTTTAACTATGTGTCTATGTGTCCTAAAAGCATATGTGTTTTATTTATTTCGATGGTAAATTAATTATTAAAATAAAATAAAATTACAATTGTAATGAATTTTATGCATATAAATAAAGAATTTTGTCTATAATATATGAGAAGTTGTTGTTGTTGTTGTTTTTTTTTTTTTTCAATTACTTAAATTAAATATAAATATAATATTCATTTCGTCTCAACTCAAAGTTTCATTTCTATCATTTTTGTATATCTTAATCAAAAGTACATTTTTTTTTTTTACTTTAGTAAAAGTAATCATATACTAATACCAAAATACTATTAATTTTTATTTAAATTCAAATATATTACTACATATACAATTACTTTATACATATAACAAAAATATTAAAATTTCTTGCACACTATCACTAATCAATAAAATATTATTATTATAATAAAAAATGACACAAACAAAGATTATATTAGCATTATATATATTTACATTAAATTAAAATTATTTATTATCTCCGACACTTCTACAAGTATTCGAGTATAATTTAATAGTTATATATATATTTTATATTTTTTATATACAAATAATTAATCAATATAATATTTTTTTAAAAATAAAAAATGATTGTGGGGTGGGGTGTGTAGAACACAA